TGAGGGAGAGTGAGACCCTCACACTTCATCACTCTTCCCATCTTTTATTTTTATCTTTTTATGTTTTACTGATTTTCTTGTAATATCTTTGTTTGATTGTTAGGAGCCATCCAGAGTCGTTGAGAGTTGGGTGGCATACAGGTTTACTACATCATCATCATCATCCTCCCTCATCCCCCTCCAATTAAGGGTGAAGGTGGACTGGGAAGATTGATGGAGGCATGCTACTTTAATTCCCACACTTAAAATATGTTAGAATCCTGAAGAAGTTTGAGCCATTTCACAGGTTTGGGGATGCTTTTAAAAGGATAGAATGGGAGTAGTTTAGTTTCCCAAGGCCTCTGGTTCCATTTTTACCTATAACTTAAGACCAAGGGCAGAAGTCCCAATTTCTTGTAACGCTCCAAAAGGTCAGAATGCAAATTGGCACCCATGAGCTCATAAAATGCTGCCTGCTTCTATACCAGGTGATTCATCACTGCAATAATCCGATTGCCCTGCCTTCAGATTTTGTGCTTCTTTTGCTGAAGACTTTCTAATACACGCTGCAGTAGATTCTCAAGAATGGGCAGCTGCTGGTTGATAATGACAAGCCTGATAATTTTGATTTTTACAATCAGGCTTGGGTAGGATCCTCAACACTCTTTTCATTTTAGGAGTTGAACTGTTTCTCTGATGGCCAGTTTATGTATTCAGCACATACAGTAGTGGCCGAAACTGTGGAAACCTTTTGGGGAAAGTGTACTTTTGAAGTTTGATGGCTAATAACATCACCTTTTTTTGGAGTTTCAAGATAATCATATTCCACAGCTGGAATGGCCTGGGAATAGCCCAGACCTTAACCCAATTGAAACTCTATGGAGCCGATTAAAGAAACTTGTTAGTCAGAAGCGACTCAGCAATAAAACCCAGTTAACAGAAGCAGTCATTCAATCTTGGTTTCACATTATAACAGCTGCAGAACTAACTTGGTTCACTCCATGGGAAGACGTTGTAAGGCCGTAATTCATGCTAAAAGTTACCCAACTAAGTATTAACTGACGTGATAATTTTTGTATATCTCGTTTTTTTTCTATGGTGGTAATTTTTGTATATCGTGTTTTTTCTATGTGTTTCACTTTTCTTCTTTATACTGTAATTGCTATTCTAATAGAAAATCTTTCATAAAAGTTATTGTATTACATTCTTGATTAAATTATCTTTCCATTGATATATAATTTTATGGTACTACTCCAAAAAAAAAGTGGTGTTATTAATTAGTTTTAGAAAATACTTTTCCCAAAAGGTTTCCACAATTTTGGCCATTACTGTATGATGACTTTCCTTCTCTATCATCCTTATCATCTAAAATATTCTTTGCATGTAGACAATGAGCAAGTCAAGGAAAGCATACAGTTTTACATGACTTCCTGATAGCTATTATCCCACATGCAGAGAAGATTCCTTTTCCCACCACCACCACCATCATCATCCAGGACAATTCTTATATATAACTTTTTTGGATTGGGGCTGATGCAAGAGATCAGATTAGAGATGAGCTTCCACAGGAAATGCTGCTATCATCATGATCATCATCATCTTATGGTGACTGAGTATAACTGTCCTCTATTATAGGCCCAAGTAAAAGCCAACAGAATACGTTCCATTCCACCAGCAGCACTATTTAAACTTATTGATAACACTTAAGCACCCAGCACTTTCATCTAATGTGATTTATGGAAACATCAGTTCCAGCAACAATAGTAAAATTTATGATGAGCACTTAGTGCATTTGTGTATTGCCAAGTAGAAAATGCACTTCTATTTTTAAGCTATGATTCTATTCCTCATCCCTCAGCTTCACTCCGATAATCCTCACAAGATAAGGTGGTAAAGGAAATGCTAGTGACCGTAGTAGAAATAGGAATTTGCAACTATGAGGTAAAGAGAGTATTTATATCTGGATGCTTAGGAATCTTTGGTGGACATACTTTAGGAAGCCTTATACTCAACTCGGTTTGGAAAATGAATAAAACCATGAATTGTTAAGAAGCACACTAGCACCTGAGAATGAACTTCCAAATCCAGAATTTTATTTCTGAGGAAATTATCTTACATTTTATTGCTTTCTCATCTAAAGCTAACCTTCTATAATCCCAAGGGACCACACTAACTTGAAATTGGGGATTATATTTCCAACAAGTCTGGCTGATACCTGCTCAGAATAAACTGAGTTACAGTCATATCCACAGTGGAGGATGGATAAAGGAGAATCATTAATGGTCTTACACCACCTTCCAAATTTAAGTGTCCTTTTCTTGCCAGATGTTCCCCCCCCCAAAAAAAAGTTTGTTATTTTATTGTTTAAGGTGCCTAGTTTAGATGAAAATGAAGGGAACATGAAAAACTCAACATAAGGTCTAAGTGTTTTTAAAGTTGCTATGCATGAACTGTCCCTTATGGATGTTGCAGATGCTGTTTATCATTTGGATTTATGGATCTGAAACCTTAAACTGTAGATACTGAAAGGCCCGTGATGATAAATATATACCAATATTAGCCCCACTAGGTAGATCAGACTAGAAACTCTACAGGAAGACCAGAACTACCTTTTACTGAAATTGTCAATAATAATTGAATCTTGTAAGTCTGATAATGCCCTACTTCCCCCTCCTTCTCCTTATACTCCAGTGAATCAGGAATGCATTTGCATTACCTCCCAGGACTTAAACAAAAGTGTAACTTCAAACTAACAGGAGGGAAGTTTGAAAATAATATTAGAAAGTATTACTTCACAGAAAGAGTAGTGGAAACTTGGAACCAAATTCCAGCGGAGATAGCGGATCAATCATCACTAACTGGATTTAAACATGCGTGGGATAAACACATGCCCATCATTCAACAAAAAATAAAAATAAATAAAACATAAAAATAATAATTAAAAATAATAAATACATAAATTGACACAGCAGCAACAAAAAAACCCTCAAAGGGCAGACCACTTGGTCTTTTTCTGCTGTCAGTTTTCTGTTTCTATGTTTGACTAGATAATGGTTTTTGTATATTTCTGTCAAGATCACTTCCCTTGCTCTCTTTATTTAGCAAATTTTCTAAAGAATTAATTGCAAGTTATTGCAACTCTATGAAGAATCAAAAGAGAAGCTGAAATGTGTTACACTTTAAAAAGACTTTTTTTTTTCTTTTCAAAAGAGTTTTAAGGAATGAATATTGGCTATGAACGTTTCAATTTTGTGAAGCAACAAATCTGAAAAACAGAAGTAGATAATTTTTTGCTAGCCAAGAGCAACATTTAATACTTTTATAGAAGATGAGCCCACAAAGAGGATGGGACCACATCATAGGCATATAGAGGAAGAAAACTCGGGGGTTGCGTTATATTTTAACTATGATCTGCTTGCTTTACAGATTGTGTTTCTGTTTTCATGACTTCCACATTCAAATGGCAAGCAACTGTGCTTCCAATTTTCAGGAATCATGTTTTAAGGTGGCTTCAAGAATTGCAAACACATGAGCTGAAGCTACGTGTTCCTTATCACCTCTGTAAATGAAAATATTAATACTAAAGCAGTTATGGACCAAGCTTGTGAAGAGATGACAAACCTTTTAATATCCTTATTATTTCCCTGTTTTCTATAAAACTGTATGAACTTTTTTCTTGAGAAATGAAGACCGTTTTTTGTGATGCTCTTCTGAATTACTATTTCCTGAAGGTCAGCTCAGAACTCGTGCTTGACTGCTACTAATTTGAAATTCATACTGGAGAGCTGGGGCTCTGAACTGTCCTAATTGAGGTTTTTTCAGCTTTCTAAAATAGCTACTTCATATGCTGGTTTGTTAATTCTTAAAGCCACGTTTGCAAGTGTAATACAATTAAAGATTATACTGAAATGCCACTGCTTCAAATGTCTCTTTCTTTCTCTTACAAAGGCAAGACACAAAGGGAATAAACATATATATATTTATGTTTAAGCTCACTGCAATTTCAGGTTTGCCTTTTTATTACACTGTAGTTTAGGAGCAAACCCAGCATGAAAAATGAGCCCATCTAGAATATTCGCACAAACAAAAGCAAACAAAATGTGCATAACGGAAATGTCAGCTAAGTCACTTGAATACCTCAGGAGCTTGCTGGGGACATTCAAAAGACCAGTGATTCCATTAAAAGAAAACTCGATCTAAACAGGGAAAATCAATTTGACCCTCAGTGTTATGTTTTAGACATTAACCTATCACCTTTAATCACACTGATAATGCAATACAAGGATGGCTTCTAAATCAATCTCTTCTAAGGATGACTTCTAAAACAATCACATTATTCCCCTCTTAAAAGGCCCAGCTACTCTTTCTGTGGCTTGTTTTGTAGCTTGTCAGTAACTTTTTATGGATGGCTCTACTCCAAGTTATTATGCACAAACTAAGATGTTTATTATTCCAAAGATGCTGATAATATTTCAGCAGCTTTTAAATCTTTATTAATTGATGGAACCATATCTTAGTTTTCTTCCGATGACTTCTTTCTCTTACACTTCCCCCATTGGTACAGATCCAAAGAGATCCTTACATATTTTGATCAGTGAATGGAATCAGCCTGAAACAATTCGATGCATGGTTTGTGATTCTGAACTAGATTTTCTAAAATGATACTTTTCAGATGTGTTCAGATTACAATTCTCAAAACACAACAGTAGTGTCATAAGATCCAGAAGGGCACCGGCCTGGAGAAGCCAAAAACACCTCACGAAACTGTAGTATCAACTACAATCCATTGAGTCATTAGGAACCAATCTTGGTGAATTACATTGTGTTTTTGCTTCCCAAATTGTACACTGTACTGAAATGTACACACGGAATAGGACATGGTAAGTTTTTTTTAAAAAAAAACACCATTGTGGTTGAACAATTGTTTGCTAGCCTCAGGAATCCACTCTAAACTCCATTCACTGGTGAACAACTTCATTTTTATTCTTGCCTGCAACCCTCTAAATAGGATGCTCTTGTACCTGCTGTGCAAGGAGAGAGGTCTGCCTGCCCTTTTTTTCATCTCTAACAGGAAACAGAGATTTGAGCAGCTTTGGCATCTGAGGCACGAGGGACTTTACAGGATTCAAGTAAGAGGCAGCCAGGCTACCGAGTCCTGAACAAGACAAATAAACAAACAAATTCATAATGCTTCTACCTGTCTCTTGATCAGCCACAATATCACTGAAGTCTACTTTGAACTATTTCTAAATGTATGGGATGGCTTTGCTTAATGTTGAATTTGGCTGCCAAGAAACAACCAAGCAATTTCCTTCCATTGTTCTGGCGGAAAAAATAAATAAATTCTGTGCAAGTCTTTCCGTCAAAGGGAACCCTGGCCTTGCTCATGACATTAAATCATGACCGTCTATCCCATGTGGTGCTCATGCACCAAAGAAATTAGAAACTGTTTCAAAAGTATGGCCCTTATTTGCCGAAAAGGATCTTATACTCCTATAAGATAAGAGCTGTGGTGGCGCAGTGGTTAGAGTGCAGTACTGCAGGCTAATTCTGCTCATTGCCAGCTGCCAGAAGTTTGGCAGATTGAATCTCCCTAGGCTCAAGGTTGACTCAGCCTTCCATCCTTCCGAGGTGGGTAAAATGAGGACCCAGATTGTTGGGGGCAATAGGCTGACTCTGTAAACCGCTTAGAGAGGGCTGTAAAGCACTGTGAAGCGGTATGTAAGTCTAAGTGCTATTGTTATTGCTATTGCTATATAAAACCAGGGGAGGGAAGAGGAATCTACAGCTGCAGTGGCTTGTTCACATCACTGATTTGCCCTAAAGTTTTTACCTTGGTCTGTAGAACCATTTTGCTGAGTTGAACCATGGAGACTTGCACTGGATCTGGACTCTGTTGAAATCTGAGAAATATCTTGCTGGCTTTCCCATCGACTCTGGAATTATTAACATATATATATGTATGTATGTATGTATATATATATTTGTACAGTGGTCACATTGAAAGTAGCAACTACTCAAACAATTTGAAAAATGCTGAAACATACAATAAAACAAGAACAGAAACCTATTAATATCCCATGCTGCAGAGGAAAGGCACAGGCCCACTTCATGCTTTTCTGAGCCATAGGTTAAGATCTAAAAGGCCCTGTTATAAACTGTAGCCAAATCTAAGCAGATCTAGGTCTGATCAGGGCCTGAATGGAAGACATCTGGCAGTATTATTTATAGAACATTGAGTTTACCTACGTGAATGCAATAATTAAGTATGTATGTCAGCTTTCCCCATTGTGGCATCCTTCAATGGACCTTGCATGGACCTTGACTCACAGAACTTTGAGCTATCAACATTTTGGCTAGGGAATTCTGGGCATTGATATTTACACATCCAGAGGAAGCATTGCTTCAGAAAGATTAGCAAAGTTAATTGTGCTATACTTCTTCCTATGTTGTGTTTCCCTAAGAGAATAGACCCATACCAGAAGTTCTTAGGGCTTTATGTCCTGAGAAAAGTACAATTTCTTGTCATTTAATATTCTGATGGAGCTGCACTATTCAGATTGAGGATGAAAAGTGCAAGGAGAGTACATCTAGTACTCTCTTGAGCCGTGTGTCAGAACTAAGATTCAGGGCATGTTTAACAGAGAGACTGAATCTTACATACTAGCCACTGATAGAACCTCTTGCCCTTCATTATTAATTTATAGTTGTTGGCATAAAATGGGCACTCCAAAGAAGCATTTAATAAGACAGCCTCTGTCTGTACAATTGCAATCAATGGAAAAAGCGTCTGTAACAGTTGGTACACCTGCACTAGAATGCTAAAGGAGTTACTATTGGCAAGCATTCATTCTGAAAAAGGGACCAAGTTACCTTTTTTCACTGTAATCTTTATAGGCTATCTCAAAGTCTATGCAAAGTCTGTGGGATGTAATTTAACAACTACTAGGTAATGAACCCTAGACAACTGTTGTGGCTTTTGCAAGTGACTCACACAAAAGAAAGAGGAAAAGTACAATGCAAGAAATTTCTGAGTACTGCACAATGGCAACCAACTGAAATTATTTTATTGCAATGCAGCCACAACATTCTACTACATGTGAAGTTGGTACCAAGACCAACACTTGATGATATCTGAACAACCCACTTTCAGTTCTTACAAAAGTCAATGCTCTTTATGATTCTGCCTGCCTAGGTTTTCCCCATATTCTCTCTTCCTCTGAAGTAGAGAAAAGGGAGAGAAGAATGGCTATGTTTTCCACAAAAAGTCTGTAACAAGGAAAGAACTTTTTCATTACTTGTCTGGAGAAATGTTTGCCAAATGACTAGGCACCAAGGTCAGACTTCATTAAACTAATTCTCATCAGTCCATTTAAGAACATCATGCTCTCAGTCTCACATTGGGACAAAGTCATTACAGAGATACCTTGGCATCTTCCAAATAAGCCTTATAATTCTCTGCCTTTTTCCTACAAAACCCCACCATCTGTTATTCATCCCTTTTATAGAACGGCCCCTATTATGCAGGTCAGAGTTGATTTCCTACACGGTCCATCCACCACTCTGGGAAACAGGATGCTTCTTTAACTGGATCTTGGTCTGCTCCAGCAAAGCAACTTACTAGAGGGATCCCTAACCTGGGGGAAAAAATGAAGCAACAACTAGGGTTGCTCAACTGAATTGTGGGCAAAACAAAGTATCCATTTAAATGGAGGTCCACTGAATCCCAGCATACTAAAAAGCAGAGACAAAAGCAGAGACATCACCTTGCCAACAAAAGTGCGTATAGTCAAGGCTATGGTGTTCCCAGTTGCAATGTATGGCTGTGAAAGTTGGACCATAAGAAAGGCTGAGCGCCAAAGAATTGAGGCCTTTGAATTATGGTGCTGGAGAAAACTCCTGCAAATCCCTTGGACTGCAAGGCGATCAAACCGGTCAGTCCTAGAGATTAACCCTGACTGCTCTTTAGAAGGCCAGATCCTGAAGATGAAACTCAAATACTTTGGCCACCTAATGAGAAGGAAGGACTCACTGGAGAAGAGCCTAATGCTGGGAAAGATTGAGGGCAAAAGAAGAAGGGGATGACAGAGAATGAGGTGGCTGGATGGAGTCACTGAAGCAGTAGGGGTGAGCTTAAATGGACTCCAGAAGGTGGTAGAGGACAGGAAGGCCTGGAGGAATGTTGTCCATGGGGTCATGATGGGTCGGACACGACTTTGCAACTAACAACAACCACCACCACTGAATCCACTCATTCTGAAAACATTTTTTGCATTATTGTGCCATGAAAATTGAATTTTATCTACCAGAATATTAAAAAAAATGGCAAATCCAGTACTATGAATTATATTTTTAAGAAACATTCAGTAACTTATTATTACTTATTTTCACACTGCCGCCCACCTCACAAATGGATGGCAAACAACACCTAAAGACAATAAAAACAACATTAGCAAACAGTAAAACCTACAGTGGTTGTTGAGGGTATGCTATATTTGTTAAATTCTGGCAGCCACAGAAACTTCCCCTTACCATAAGCAGGAGTTTTAAACTGCGTCATGCACAGGCCATGCCCACCCCAGCTCCACAAAGGGGGAAACGTTGCAATACATCACGTGATGGCAACGTGACGCGGTGAGTTTGACACATGTGACATAAAGTATCCTTAGCTTTCCCTTTGGTCATTAGTAGTAACAAAAAATAAATCAAGGATTTTATTTGATCTGTGCAACTCTCCTTTCTACTTTCACTGTCTTGAATTCTGCATGGCTAACCAGTTCATTTTGACATAACTGCTTGCAGCTGGTGATCAACAAAACAAAGGCCACCCTTTACTCATACAAAGTAGGCAATGGAAACTCAGTAAAAGTCCTGGGAATCCATGCCAGTCTGGGTATGCAAAGCCATAGGGAAAGAGGGTATGTTCCATCATCTGCTAATTCATTGGCTTGCAAAAGTTTGCAAGTTATATCACTATAACATGACTAAACCAGATAACTATGGTTTCTGCTGTAAAGCGGTACTAACCTCGAATTAAGCCTTCCTTGAAACACACTGGAAGGAATTAGAAAACAGATGTATATGCTACTGCACTGTATAATCTGACACATCATAGACTTATGATGTATGATTGCACCACTGAAGGACTGGATGAATAAAAATCACCTCCTTGTGGATTGCGTTTCAAGCTAGCCATCTACTAAAGTCATTCTAACTTTTCAATGTGTGCTGAATGCCATCTATAGAAATAAATCCAGTTAGGATTTATGGACAGAACAGTTCAGGAGCAGCCAATTTGGCCAAGCAAACTAATCTCACATTGCAGGCTCCCTAAGGTAGGTTACACTTACTAGACCAACTGGAATAGATCAGCTGTAAATTCAATAGAAGTTAAAAAAAGGTACACTACTTCATTCTACAGTGATGTAATTTCTGAAATTCACTGACATAAGACGTGGGAATGATTATAAGCTTAAATGGCTTCTCTTTCTTTTGCACGCTGTCTTGAGCATATCAAAAGATAGCAAATAAATTATTTGAATAAGTAAACAAATTAACCAGATGTATGGAGAATTGGTACTTTGGCTACCTAATGAGAAGGAAGGACTCACTGGAAAAAAGCCTAATGCTGGAAAAGATTGAGGGCAAGAGAAAAAGGGGACGACAGAGAATGAGGTGGCTGGATGAAGTCACTGAAGCAGTAGGCATGAGCTTAAATGGACTCCAGAGGATGGTAGAAGACAGGAAAGCCTGGAGGAACGTGGTCCATGGGGTCACGATGGGTCAGACACGACTTTGCAACTAAACAACAACAAATGGAGAATTGGTATATAACCCAGAAACACCAAGTCTTGTGTCATCTTAAAGATTTACAAATGTATAATTGGATTGATGTCCAGAGAACACAGTCCATGAACATTCTATTGAATGCCTGTTAAATAGAATATTCAGAAAAGAATCCATCAAATTACACTCCATACATGTAATAAAATGGACTATCATCCATAAAGGGCTTTGCTAATAACATTTGTTAGTTTTTCTGCTGTCTGTGCTACAAAATACTAATATAACCACTACCCTGGTTTCTATTCTTAGTTGTTCTATTGCACTGGCTATCGGGGCAATTCATGGGAGAAATATTTCCTTTCAGGCCCTGCTTGTGCTGTTTCTATAGAATTCTGTCTGGCCATTATTAGAACCAGGATGCCATGCTTCTGGTCTGATCCAGCAGTCCTCATGTACATTACAACATGCATACAATTGAATGAGTTCATGTTAATTCTCCATTCTCCATTTATTCCACCTTTCTGTAAGTAAAGTTTAAATTGTAAATTCCTTGAGCTGAACAGCTAACTTTTTGGATTTAAATAACTTTATGTTTTTCATACATTGATGACTCTATACCAGTGCATGCTATTTAAAGACACATTTCAGACCTCTCCAACTGCTCAGATTAAGCAGGCAAGCTCTCCATTTCAGAAGCAAGGCCACTTGCAGACCAAGATTGCATACCATCACGTTCAGAAATATTACCTTTATGCTAGGTTAATGAAGCAAAGAGGAAAAAAAGGAAGCACAGTGGCAGCAAATCCAAAGCAGAGTGTTAGAATTAGAGTTAGGTCACAGAAGACCATGGAAAAGCACTCCAGAAAGGGATACTTTGTTTATCCTGTTCATTAGATGAATCTAATGAATTTGTTACCTCTGCCACGACCTTGGGAAACTGATACAACACATGCAATGAGGGATGGATATCGTTGAAGGGTTAAGAAACAAACAGAGGCATAAAAAAAAAGGAAAGAAAAACAATGAACATTCAGATTATGACTTATTCTTCCTGCTGAAAATGCTGCTGTTCAAGGACTCTTGAACTATTTGTGGGTTCTCTGGAATTCAGCAGCCAACTACAAATACTAGGAAACAGGAAAATATCTAGAGATGAACAAAAGTATAAATACTCCTACTTGGCCATGACTTCCCCTCCAGAAGATTTGCCTGCTTTTTTCAAACTGGGAACCCTCTTTCATACAACAAACTTACAAATCTCAACATTTTCCACATGGGCCTTGGCTCAAAATAGAACCAAGCCCCTGCCATGATATTAAAGGGATCACGTAACAACTCTGGGCCAAGAGTGGACTTGATCACATGTCCCATTAGAAGTCTGATCCAAAATTTATGCCCAAAGATATAGCTGAAAATTAGGAAAGCTATAATTCCCTTCATCATTACAATAGGCATACTTTTTTTAAAAAAAACCCTACTCTTTAAAAAAAGAAAAAAGAGAAAGGGGGGGGAGAAATTAAAAGCAGAAATGAAACAAGGCTCTGCTGACGTGGAGGCCTGGGGTGGTGGCAGTTGCCTGAGACTGCTGAAGGCCCCAGGCCTCTATTTCAAGCCCAGTCTTGGTGATGTTGCCGAGTGCTCCTGCACTGGGTAGCCTAGATTAGGGAGGACATAGGCAGATGTGGGAAGCTGGGCAGCATTCTTCAGTTGCCGTAGTGGTGCTAGGGCTGAAGTTGAGGCTTGGGGCAGTGACAGCTGGCTGAGAGTGCTGAGAGGCCCAGGTCTCTCAACACAGGCCTTTGACACAGGCCTGGTGCTGCTGCCAACGAGTGCTACATTGCAAGGCTAGTAGGCTGAGGTTGCTACAGCTTTGCACCACGCTGCACCACACACACATATACACCCCCCAGCTTGTGCATGGCTTGTGTGTGTGGCCTAGACTGGGCTCCCATTCCCTGAGGCACACCCTACATTCCTCTTAACAACCTATGTGACCACTTAATGACTGCAACTGGAAGTACCGGGATTGCAATTGTTGAGCAAAGCATTTCATTTAATGATCAACTTTGCTCAATGGCCGAGATTCTGGACTCAATTGTGGTCATAAATTGAGATTATACTACCTGTATAATCTAAATTAATACCACATAACACAATTAATTGATATGTTATAGTTTTGATTCTTAAGAGTGATTCGGGTATAAAACCATAGACAGAAAATAAATTATGTCTTTTAACAACCAGATCCCATATTGGATCATATATCTTACCGTGTTTCCCCGAAAATAAGACCCTGTCTTATATTTTTTTGAACCGTGAAATAAGCGCTTGGCCTTATTGCCATGCGCTCAAAAGCCCGATTGGGTTTATTATCAGGTATGTCTTATTTTGGGGGCAACAGTGTAGTTAAAACAAACAACTCAGTTTAGAACTCATAATAGTTAAAAAAATAGGTAAACCAGTTTTCAAAATCAATTTTCCCAAATAGTTAAATTCCTATTTTTCTGAAAAAGTGCAACCTCTTAAACAGAATAAAGAAATTCACTAACAAACTGAATGCTTACTTTGTAAGAAGCAAGGCTGTATGTTGGATTTAGATCTTGGCGGCTACCCGATAGCTGAAAGAGTAACAATAAAATTGTGATTTTCAAATGGAACCTTCAGTCTGCAAGACTTACAGCAAACATAGAGGCCAACAGCACACCAGAAGGTGAAGACACTTCCTATGCCTTCAGTATGACCTCAATATGGTGTTACTAGATGAAGAAATGCTCCTTATCTTCCTACAAACTCATTGTGAAGCCACTCTTTTCTTCTCTCCACCCTCTTCCAACTATGTCTTGGGAGGATTTCAGCTCTAGTATTACAGACTCACTCGATTGACATTTGGTGAACTGAGACTCTTCCGATAAAGTTTTCCCTTGCCTGTTAGCTGTTCCTTCACAGCAACCTCCTGCAAGGAAGAAACAGATCATTCTTTCTCGAATATTCATTTACAAATAAAAGCAAGTTTGAACTGAATCAAGGGCAAGGAATGTTAGGCACTTCTGTAGGGACCATTGAGAACATTTATGCAAGTGATTGTTACTGGCTTGGAATGATGGAAAATGTAGCCCAATATATCTCGTTGGAGACAGCTAAGACATGCACGTAATCAGAGACTGGAACAAACTGTCATATAAATGCAGTCTAAAACTGCATGCAGACCTCTTTGGATAACAACATGAATCCAACTTTGGAATAAAAACACTGAACCCACCCAAAAAACAATACACCAGTTTTTCCAAAATTAAATTACAGTAATGATCTAGTCATTATGTTATAATGATAATATAGTCAGAGAATGATTGCTTCCCCTTCCCTACAAACATTGAAAAGGCCCCTCTGCTAGTGGTTAACCCACTTCTGGGTTGAAAGTATTAGAACAAAGTGGGGCTGACCCATCCCTCAAGGAACGGGAGAATGCTCCTGTTTCAAAGCTATTACTCTAAAAATTTACAAACAGAAAAAAAACACAATGTGAAAGAGCAATTCCTTCTCAAAGTTAGCACTTTCTCAACAAAATTCTACCCATCTGCTAGTATAATTCTTTTTATATTTTATTTATTATTGATTAGACTAATGAAAATATTACTTATACAGAGCCTTATTTTTTTTAGATTACTCTTTGTTCGAATACAGTGAAGCTTTATGCAAAAACATGATTGCTGCTCCCTATTCTATTTTCTTTGGAAATTGCCCTATTGTTGTTCTATTTTCTTGCTGTTGTTCTATTTTCTTTGGAAGTGAGATATAACCCAAGTAAAAAATTTTTAAAAACATAGTTTGATTCATCAAAATAGGAGAGCACTTTAATTTTTAGGCCTTTATCAATAAAGTTAGAGTAAATGTTACAGTTCCACATCTTAAAGCTCCAGAATATGTATGGCTCCAGAAGCCTTCAGGATCATACATTTGAAATTCAGCACAATGTATTACTACTTTTTAAAAAATAAAATAAGTCCTAAAATCACTGGGATTATAGCTAGAGTTGGAACATATAGAGCTAACACCTTCTTTTTATGGCCCTTGGTGGCTAATTTTCAATGACTGCCAGCATCTGGCAACAGTTTCCTGGGATTTTTAGATGGGAAACAGATGAAACCTGCAGGATAAGCCTTAGAATAGGCATTGCTCTATCAGCCTTGCTCATTTATGATGTGGTTTCATGCAGTTTGTTACTGAAGTGTACCCCAAAAATGGCACTGTATCCTATAGCCTAAGAAAGGTTTCCACACCTTGTAGTACTTTCCCTTACAATTAACTAACCTGGCGCAACCGATCAAGGGTAAGGATGTTTTCTACAGCCAACACACTTCGAAGGTATTTTTCTATATGGACTTCTGAAGCAGCAGATGCTGCATCTTCAACATTGGCTGCCATTTTTGCTAATGCCTCACGTTCCTCTGCCCCCTGAGCATCCTGAAAGAGAAAACCTCTCAAGTTAGCGAGCCCATTGGCACATAAAAAGTAAAAGAAACATAGATCACAGAACACTGAGCTATATTTGCGATGGCAAGTTTAGAACTAGTGCGGAGCATAAATCACTTCAAAAGTACCTCTGGATAGCTGAAGAAATATTCTCTCGTTCTCTCTCTCTGTCTTTTCTCATACACAGATACACTCTGATATACACAAAATCTCAGGTAAAGACTGAATTTAAATAAGGTGCTTTTCAATAGTCAATATTCATTCAACTACTGAAAGTTCTTCCAGTTTTTTTAAGTTAAGCATTTTAAATATAAATGCCTTTGTGCATTTTTAAAAAACTTTTTAAAAGTCTAGATGCAGAAATGGGACAGAGTAGACTTCATAGATTTAACAGATTAACAGAGTTGGAAAGTACCTTATAGGTCATCTAGTCCAACCCCCCCATCCCCTGTTCAAGCAGGAGACCCTACACCATTTCTGACAAATGGCAATCCAATCTCTTCTTGAAAGTCTCCAGTGATGAAGTTCCCACAACTTCCGAAGGCAAGCTGTTCCATTGGTTGATTGTTCTCACTGTCAGAAAGTTCCTCCTCATTTCTAGGTTGAATCTCTCCTTGGTCGATTTCTGTCCATTATTCCTTGTCTGGCCTTCAGGTGCTTTGGAAAATAGCTTGACCTGCTCCTCTCTCTGGCAGCCCCTCAAGTATTGGAAGACGGCTATCATGTCTCCCTTGGTCCTTCTCTTCACTAGACTAGCCATGCCTAGTTCATGTAACCGTTCTTGATATGTTTTAGATATTTGAAAAGTAGCCATGACATAGAAAGAAACTGATCTGTTCATTTTTACCTTCAAGTAACTGAAAGCATGTGTAGATAGTTAGCATTAAGTATTATGAAACAGGGTCTCTAAAATAAGCTGAGAAGAATGCATAGATGCATAGTCCTAGCAAGGCCCATGTTGAACTAGGAATTTGGGAGAGGTTTCTTCCTGGCTTTTCCTCCCCTTTGAAACCTCTATGGGAAATTGTCCCAATCGGTTGTAACCATATGTTAAAAACCCATCATGTGGATTCTCTTAGGATCTGATTTAGGAAACATATGATTGTATACCAGTGGTGGGTTGCCCCTGGTTCGGACTGGTTCTTGCAACCGGTAGTAAAACCGGTGGGAGGCTCTGCCCACTGACCCGGATATCGTCAGGAAGCTTCTGCGCATGCGCAGAAGCACGCACATGGTCCCATTGCAAACCAGTAGTAAAGGTAAGTAGAACCCACCCCTGTTGTGTACCCTATAAGACTAGCAAAGGAAATTGGCTTGTATTTGCATGGGCATATTTAGAAGCAACATTACTTTGAATTCCCCATAATATTCACCTCTGGGATATTTGAAACAATTTCAAAGGTGATTCCACAGCCAGGTACAGAACTCCGGTAAGACATTCTTCTCAGCAAACTCTGAGCAAAACCCTAGAGATGAAAAAGAGATCTTGTAGTTTCATATAAGTCAATACTAAAAACAGATTTCTCTCTTTCAGCAAGGTTAAACTAATACTCAGATCAGCAGCAGATTATTTAGCATGAAAGAAAAGCAAACAGCAACAGATTAGCCAAAGAAAAGACAAAACAGAGCCATTTAATTTTTGGAAACCCCGTCTGTGGTGGACAATACTCCCTTGGCCATCTCCATGCCATATATGTCACAAATGAACGACCTGCTCATTCACTTTTAATAAAACAACCTCCTTTGTACCCAATTAAACATATTACTTTCATGATCATACTATCAAAATCCCCTTATGGGGGTTATTCACACATTGTGGAATGACTCCAGTTTTGGAACCCTTCAATATTTTTTCCCACAGTGTGGAAAGATTTGGGAATCTGGGTGGATTCAAGAAGGCTTGTGTTCCATTAAAGAAAGGTAGAGAGGGGTTCTCTACCATTGCTCAGGTTCCCAGGAAGTAAATACTTGAATTGATCCCAAATTCTTTATACTTGATGCTTGGATCATTATAGAATGCTGACAAGGTGACCGCTTAATTGTCATGCTGAGTATTTTTTTTTTCTATGCATGTGCATATTTACTTGTGAGCTTGGAATTACTGGTGCTTTGAATTGCCAACAAGCCTGATTTTTGAATCCCAGGCCACTGGGATCATTACAAACAATGATTTAAGAGGATCAGTGACATTGTTTATTCTGACAGGAAGGTTCATGAGGTTAAAATCTTGACTCCTGAATTAATGCAGAGATGAGTCATCCAAAGTTGCTAGGTACTTGGAAGGTTATTGATACAGTTTTGTAATACATGTTTTGGATTCTGTATTGACAATAGACAGAATAGCTAAATAGCCCAGAGACTTTAGCAAGCTGCATAGAAAATACATTTATAGAGAATTTATGCTAATGGCTGTAATGAACTACACTAACTGAGCATCTTTGGCATTGGCTATCCATGGTCAATGGCATAGAGCATGCTTTGAAACTTTGATCTCCAACATCTCCAATAAAGTGACCTCTAGAAGCTGCCCCACATTTGAAATTTTGGAAAACTGCTGCCAACCGGAGGAAAGATGAGCCAAAGATCTGAAACAATATACAGTATGACACCTCTTTCTATCATGGAAGGGCTATAAGCCTGTGTGTACAAACGTATGTGAGACTGTTTTCTGGATTCTTTTCTAGATTAATCTCAGACAGTTTACCACATGAATACCTTGCTGTAAGGCCAAACAAATATAAACTATCTCAAGCTTCTAAGGAATTTGTTAGGTATCCAATTTTAGTAGCCTGAGAGAATATCACTGGGCACCCTAGAATTATCTCCCAATTTCATCTCCTTTTCTGAAAAGATCTTCTCCCACTTGGATGCTCACCAGATGTGAGACTCAATCCCCAGCCGGCATGGCTATTGCTGAGAATACTGGAAGATGAGGTCCACACATCTGGAAGTTGGAAATGGCTGGTTTATGACATTATAATTTACATGCTGCAATAAACTTATGCCATTATAATTTACATGCTGCAAGACTAGGTCTCCGGAAACCTTTACACAATCTGTGTCTCTTGAATTTGTTTAAACACCTTCTTTTTATTGTCTCATCCTCCCTCAAAACTGAGCTGTTGGAGAGCAAGGCAGAAATAAGCGAGGCAGATAAAGCACAAACCAAGGATCCAACAACAACATCAGTAACATTTCAACACACAGCAAAAACAAAGTTTCTATTACAAATGTCACCAAACAATATTGACTATGTGGGTTGATGAGAGATGGGACAATCTGCTGGCAGCATAGATTTGCTGAAGCGTGTTTTGCTAACATGCAGAAAAGCTCATTAAGGTACAACCTATCAAATACTGCCTATAAAAGTCACTGTGAGATGAACTATCTATTTCAGCAGTAAACAATGCTGACAACATGAATGATCTTCAATACTTCAGCTTCTTGCACACACAGAAGCCATACAGAAAAAGATGCTTGTTGCAAAAGTGATAATATTACTACCCTCGTGGAACCTCTATGCAGCATTCTAGCAACTGCCATGGAATCAGGAGCAAGGAACAATGAAAGAAAGGAAAAAAACAGTCAATTAGATAAGGAAATCTGGCTACAGAGAATACCCCAGACTAAAGTCTAAAACCACTCAATAGATGGAAAAATGCTGTGGATTCCAATCATATTGAATGCAGCACTTCTTCCACCAAGGTTTGAGTACAAACAACTGGAGCTTAATTGATAAATCCCAAAATCTATTTAAGCTTTCACCGAAGATCTTCTGATAAAAGGAAGCTGGGTTTCTTTTTTTTACTGAATACACTTTACATATTTAATAATAATTATACTTTTGCCAAAGCACTTTCAGTCTCTATCATGTTGAGATATTTGATGGAATGGCACCCTTCAGAATTCTAAAAGTTACAGCCATGAATAATCACCTCTTCACTGCAACAATATGCACACTATTGATAGTGTACCCTGCTCCCTACTGCCCAAAACCACAAAAACAAACAGAAAGCCTTTGCACATGAAGACATTCTGAAAGTACATCTGAATGCCAGCCTAACCATCTTCAAGGATGCAATAAAGGATCCTAACCACTCAACCAAACAAAACAAAAACCCCTCATTTAAGAGAGATATAAGTTCTTGCCCAAACTATTTAAGGTGCTTTGATATCAAAGTTAACATCAGCAGCAAAAAGATAGCAAAGTGTAAGAGAATATCAAGTTTTACCAATAGTTTAATCCTGGATAAACATGCCTGGATCCTAAAAGGATGTGGAAATGACCATGAATTTAGATAGCTTTCTTAAAAAAAAGAAAATCTGAACAAATATATGGAAGATAGCATTCATTAAAGTTTATTAATCAATTTCCCCCAGTCTCATGTCTTTTAGATGTATTTACAATTTCTGGAATTCTGGCAGGCTGGCTAGAGAAGGGGAAACAGGATGGGGAGAAGCCATTCCATTCTATATATTTTAACTTGGGATTTCTATCTGGCTAGTAGCTATTGGAAGACCAAATGGCTGGCCAGATGGATTTTTGGCTTGATCCAGAAAGGTAATGGTTTTAATAGTCTACCTGTTTGCCATAAACATTGACGCAGATCCGCTTACGAAGGACAAGCTGCATTTCTGCTGGATGGCTGAGCTGCACTGCAACTCTCACAATCAGGAAGACTCTCTGTTCAGCCATTGTCCCTCTGCTAAGCTGTGCACAGTTGTGAACTGTGGAATCCCAGGAAGCTTCAGCTTTCACCTGCAAAAATCACCCAGAAAAAATTAAAGACAAACTAGAACCAGGCTGAAATTATAGTATTAGAAGACTTTGCACTCTGCCACTCTTAGTACTCATTCAAACCTAACGGGCAACTCACAGAGTAAAGCTGTGTTTTGTTTTGCAGAAAAGAGGACATTCCACATATCTATAACAATTCATTGTGTTTACCCAGAGATCGTGTTTATGAAGGGGAAGGTGATGGACTACAATAACCCAACTGGTACCCAGGAAGGAAGGAACACATTCCAAGGAGTGGAGTGACACAAGAGATAGCACACTCGAGAGATGGACCGTGGAAAGATGAGGAGATTTAGGATAGCCACACCCTAGATTCTCACAGGGTACATCTATTAATTTAGGGTAGAATAGGTTTAATCTTGCAAGATTCTGTCTATATGGTGCAATCAAATAAAGAACTGAAATTTTGCATGATCGTGTTATGTCATTCTTGGACTAGGCCTGACATCCCAATAGTGACAGGGAATATGCTAAATTTTGGTTTGTTCAAATAAGAGGAACAAACTACTGTAAATCACAAATTGTTAAGTTTTCGTTAAATGCTTGAGTCGGGGATGCCAAAAAGCATGCAAAAGGCCATATATTCCTCTTGAAGGACTCCCTAGAGTCCTTCAAGAGCATCTGGGCAGGGATGTCCATGGGGTGGGGAGCGGAGCATGTCTCAGCCCAGACATTGAGAAGATATAGTGAGCAACAGGTTCCTAGGATATGTCTAGGAGAATAGCTTTGTAAGCTATTTGTAAGCTATAATAATATAAGTTCTTGATCACTGGCCTCAGTGGCTCTATTTGCAGTGGCTCCTCTATTTTAGGAGATCTAAGGATCTAAGGCAGGAATTCAATTTCCAAACAGAGGAGGATTCTGCTGATGTGTTCTCAGCCATACGTTCACCAGAGTTTGTTCTGAAAGTGCTTTGAAATTATGCTTGAGCCATTCCCTTATCTACCAACAATGTATCTACTATTCAGATAGTAAGGAGTGCAAGAACATATGCTTCTCTAAGTCAAAAATTCATTTTTTTTCCCAATGAGATAATAAACCTCCACTGTATGTCTGAGCTCACATGATGGAATGCCCTTTCACAGAGCAACAATATAATCCTATGTACCGAAAACCTACCTGTTAAAGGCATTGCTAGGCTCTAACCCTTCTCCTTCACACACTAGCTTTGGTATGCACTGACTCTTTTTGTTTGGAGGAGCAATCCTTTTCTCCACCTGCATTTATTTAATGAAGAAGAGTTCCCCAACCATTCTGCTTTTACGGACCAGTCGAGGGTGGGAGGGCGATTCTGTAGAAGTGGTGGGCAAGCACACCCTTGCATGCACAGCTCCATTTGCCTGAGGAGCGAGCACACGCACCTGCCCCTTGTGTAAATGGGGTGCACACACACCTGTGATTACCCGCTGCTTGCGCAGCTCCAATTGCACAAGCGGCAGGCACATGCACCCATCTCTCGTGCAAATGGAGCACGCTTGCCCAGGCTTGCCCGCTGCTCATGCAAATGAAATGCGTGTGTCAAGTTTCGAGGTCGTCTCGAATAAACTGCATTTCAAACAAAGTCTTTGAAGAAAAAACTCCTATTTATTGAGCACGACATTCTGACTTAGAGTAAATGCAGGTTGAAGTGCTGACATCGTGCATGCACTCACCAGTCACTTCTGCAGCCCGGTTCCGAAGGGCACAAGGCCCAATAGTGGGCCACAGTCTGGGGGTTGGAGACCCCTAATTTAAAGCATAAGCTAGGAACCAGTTGACCATCTCAGTAAGAAATAACAACACAAGATATTTGCCCTTTTCCCTTTAACTTTCAGATGATAAATTATAATTTCAAACTCGCTCCAAAATACATTAGTAGAGTGGGAGCCATTAAGAACCAAAGGATCATGCCATGATTTCCCAGGGCTATTGTAACATCTCCCATTAGCAGCAAGAGAGCCTTCCAGCTCCAACGCTTGGGTACTGTCTTACCTCACTCTCATGGTGCTTTACAATCTGTAATTCAAAGAATTCATCTTCATCTTCAGCAATAAGGGTAGCATCCCAGCCACCAGCTTCTGGCTCATCAAGATTATCCTGAGAGCTGAAGTCATCTGCTGTAAAGGGGGGGAACAGAGAAAGAGAGCTTCCATTAGCAATTGCTATGCACAATGTAAGGTTTGGACACCATGGCTGTGCAAGTGGTTTGGGTTCAGTTTCCAAAAGTTGCTTCAAATCACGTAGGAGCTCAAGTGTACCACAGGTAGTCCTTGACATATGACCATAATGGAGCCTGCCCATTACAGTTATATGTCACGACAAACTGATTTTACATTTTTTGTATGGATGTTAAGCTAACATTGAGGTCACTAAGTAAACCAGTAGTTTGCTACAGGCATGATTTTGCTAAAGAACGGAAGTGATGGTTTTCAACAAAACCCATTGTAATATGTGATCACATGACCATGAGATTGCTGCTGAATGCCCAAAGTTTGGTCACGTCTCCTGAGGAGGGAACCTGAACATCAAAACTTCAAATCTGGTTTGTAAGTCCCTTTTATCTAGTTCAGGGGTGTCAAACTCAGTTTTATTGAGGGTTGCAACAGGGTTATGTTTGACCGTGGGGGCCTGAGGTGGACGTGGCCAGCTCGACACCACTCTTGTCAGGGGCACATATGGTGGCCCGAGTGCTCTGCCAGCGATAACGGACTCCTGAGCTTGGTTTTTGGCTGCAATGGCTTCCAGCAAAAACAGACCTTGGGACGGTGGCCTGCGGCCTTTGCAAGGTCCATTGTTGCTGGCAGAAGCACCGCGGACCGGTCCTGTTTCCAGGGCGGCCCCATGGACCAGATCTAAGCACCCTGTGGGCTGGATCTGGCCCCTGGGCCTTAAGTTTGACATCCCTGATCTAGTTGGTTGTAAATTCAAATGGTCACTAAGCAACCTGTTGTAATTTGAAATCTACCTGTTTTTGTTTAAGCTGCGTTTTTCAACTTTGGCAGTTTTTCAGATTGCTGACTGGAAGCCAAGGTCTACACATCTGAAACAGTGGTGAGTTGCCCCCGGTTTGAACCGGATCTATAGAACCGGTAGTAAAACTGGCGGGAGGCTCTGCCCATCGACCCGACATCATCAGGAAGCTTCTGCACATCCGCAGAAGTGTGCGCGCACGGCCCCGTTGCGAACCAGTAGTAAATGTAAGTAGAACCCACCCCTGATCTGAAAGCTGCCAAGGCTGAGAAACACTGAACTAAAGCAACTTCATCTTAACCCACGATTGCACAACTGTGATTATAAAACTCTTAGGTTGCACAATAACTAACTCTGAGTTCCCATGATGAGGATATTTTGTTAGATTAAATCATGTAAGCACCCTACTTGAATCACCAAATGTATTTGTTTCAAAGTAATAAAAGAAATACCAGGACACCATAAACGATCAAGGTATCATTTAAATAATTACTTCAGACAGGATGAGTAGGCAATAGTAGATCAAATTGATCATATGAGTTTCAACCTGGCCTCCCATTAGTTTGTAAATTGAACAAACAATCTGATTAAGAAAACTGGAAAATTTTTATTTTTCCCCTTATCCAATCCTCATAAGGAGATACATGTAGAACCGTGATGGCGAATCTATGACACACGTGCCAGAGGTGGCAGGCAGTGCCCTCTCTGTGGTCACATGAGCTGTCGCCCCAGCTCAGCTCCTCCGCGCATGTGCACGTGCCTCCCACCAATCAACTGGTCTTCAGGTCTCTGCTGTGCATGTGTGTGGGGGCGGGGTGCATGCAAGGGGCCCACGTGTGCATGTGCAGGGGTGGAGCGCGTGCGCAGGACCCGCACGCACATTGCATTTTGGGGGTTTGCGCGCGTGGGCACTCAGTCTGGAAAAGGTTAGCCATCACTGATGTAGAGCTTCGACTGTGAAGTAAGAAATCCAGAAGAGGAAGATTTTTATGGTTAGAGAAGTTAAATGGAGGACTGCAGTCCCAAAGCGTAAACACAGGACATTACTTAGACTACATGCCCTGCATCTCTTATAGCCTGCAAGAACTTTTCAAGGTGAAAAGGCAAAGTTGCAATGAACAAAGTAAATGCTTTTGTTTTGGGGAAGGGAAATAAAGGAGAAGAAAAGGAGGAACACATGGTTGACAGGACTTCTTATAACTGCTTATACCAGGTGTCAGCAACCTGCGGCTCCGGAGCTACATGTGGCTCTTTGGGCCCTCTGCTGTGGCTCCATGTCAAGTGATCCCACCACTGGCCCCGCCTCTCTCCCTCCCCTCCCAGTCACTCCTTGCCTGGCCTGAGAAGGTAAAGGTGACGGCGGGGATGGAGAAGCGGCCAGAGCAGAGACAGAGAGATACAGAGAGAGTGGGAGAGAGCCAGACATAGAGAGATACAGAGAGTGGGAGGGAGAGAGAGAGGGAGGGAGGGAGAGAGATGTCAAAAGGGTTTTGTGATTCCCGGTGTTTTTTAACAACCGGTTCTCTGTCCTAATGACTGGCTGGGTATGCGTGGCTAGGAGGGTCATGTGACTGGTGGAAGTGAGTGACGTTGAGTTGGCCACACCCACCCAGGTTTTGCGGCTCCCGGTGTTTTCTTTTCTGTGGGAAATGGGTCCAAATGGCTCATTAAGGTTGCAGACCCCTGGCCTATACTATAGGGCTGTTTTTCACCCACCAAGATCTACTCAATATATCCCTTTTGTATCTCCTTTCTTGAAATTCACCTCCCTTCATAAGGCTCTTATCTCACATTGTTTGCCATGGTGAAACTTACCATTTAAATCAAGGAAAATGACTGGAATGTGTGTCTCCATACCAGGCACAGGTATCCTAAAAGAAAACAAAAGCCACGGACAACATTGGCATATCAATGCAGGAGAAAGTTAATGCAGGACATGTTCCTGGTGATGCACAGCCATTGCATATTACATTCAGTACCCATGCAACTCTAGGACAAGGCAATAATAACCTTGGTGAACGTAGCTCTAACTTAATTTTTTTTCCTTGCAGATGTAAAGGACAATCAGTAATTTTCAGCGCCGGTGTTCAGTCATGGCAGAATTCTCAATAGCAAGCAGACAAATACGTGTGTCTATCTCAAGTAACTAGATTTTCTTATGTCCTGTAATTTATGTAGTTAACTAAGTGCAAAGACGTATGTCTGCTAGGAATGGGAGAGCAAATAACTAGGTCTTCTAGGTTTCATGGATAGGCAGAGAAAAGAAGGTTGACCAAGTGATTGACTGAAGGCCCCCAAAACAGTTCCGGCTTCTACAGATCGAACCAGAAGTAATGGTAAGATGTGCCACCGTTTGACAATCATTTCTCCAAGATCCAAAACATAGCTAAACCAATTGTGGGGATATATGTGGGGATATAGAACCATTTTTGGGTCAAGGATGACACCAAAGCTTTGATTGAAGTGCCAGTATCACACTAAAATTAGCAGATAGCAGGGGCATCTGCAGATGGATTGGACAATGAAAGTCCTGCCCCCTTCTTCTCTATGCAACATACAAAAAGGGAGCAGGGTTTCTATTGGGCAACTATAGCCACCATCTTGACTGAAAAGGCTGGAAACTGGAAAAAAAAACACAAACCACTGAAAATCAGCCATGTGACTATGGAACGCTGCAATTGGCTATGTGTGCATGCATGTGTGCAGTTGTCAAGACCCAGAACCGGATCATACCTAGCTTTGGGGGAGGGGCCCATTGTCACTAAGCAACCTATCGTTAAGCAAGAACTACCTCTATGTGTAACATGTGAAATGATCCTATGTGATACACAGTATGTGATATCTGAAATTGCATCTAAATCAGAGGTCCCCAACCCATGGGCCATGGACTATTGGCCACCAGGCCACGTGTGCGCGCACAGCCCCACTTGCGCGAGTGTCGCCGCAAGCATTGCAGCCCCACTCACGCGGGCACTCGAAACCCCACTCGTGCAAGCAATGGGTATTTGCGTGCGTACACGCCTGCCCTTCCCACAAAACCATCCCCTCTTTCCCCCCTCCCCCTCTTTCCCCCCTCCCCCCACTCTTGGAAAGGTTGGGGAACTCTGATCTTGATCATTTGTTTCATACCAATAAATATACAATTGGTTTATATATATAATTATTATATATTACTCTACACATAAGAAAAAGTGACTCTTCCCAGGGTTTCATCTCTAGTCCTGACAAGTGACATTTCCCATGCATTTGAAGGGGTCTCTTCGCAGCCATAAGGACTGGAAGCTTTATTTTTTTAAGAATACCAAGATTCTCAGGTACCCAAATTCTACATTCAGTAAAGCCTTCCTATACTTCCGTGAGGTGGCAAAGATTGCAGGCGTATCAATATTCTAAAAAGACGATTTTGCAAAATATCTCTGTCTACTCAGGACTTATGAAATGCTGAATCCCGGTTAATCTTACATGCAATACCGCAAGGAAAGGGAAGGCTTTTAAGTGAATGAGCCAGGCAATTGCTATTCATTTTTTTCTTTTAAATCAGCTAAAGTGCAGTAGCAATAAATATTGATTCAACTCCTACAGAAGATTGTAATTAAACTTTGTTTAAAAATCCTGCTACTTTAAAGAAAGTGCATACAGACTAAGGATTTTTCTCAAACAGGATTACTTGCTTTTACATCTCCTATCCTCCTTCAACTCGGGCACTGTTTAAAAACCTCTCACAGGGACCATCCCAAAGGCTGTTTAGCTGTCTTGGGGCAACTTCCAAAATATGTATTAGATTTTCTTGTGGTATTGAAACCAAACCTGATTAACTGTGCAAACACCAAGGGCAGCCATATTTTGTGGGAAATTATACAAACCATATCTTATTCAGTTTTACAGCTGCATTATACTGCCCTCAGATGTGATGACGGTCCCATATTTGGATGATTTTCAAAGAGGACAAGACAAATTTGAGGGGAGGGGTAGTATCTCAGTTACTAGTATTGGATGTCTACCTACTCGTTACTCACAGCCAGTAGATTTTAAACACCAGCTGCAAAGTAAGTAACAACTCTGTCAGGTTTGTGACTTCCTGTACATGGCTGGCTGGCCACCATGTGACAATGAATGCTGGACTAGTTGATCTAGTAGGGCTCTTCATGTGTTCCATATACATTCGTAATCCTGCTCTCTTTCAGGATAAATTACATTATACAGAGTGTAAAAGAAGGAATAAATAGATAAAAGGCTTGAGAAAAAAGAAAAGGAAACGTAACTAAATCTAGTTCAGGCCTGTCAAACTGGCAGCCCGTGGGCCGGATGCGTCACATGCAGGCCACGCCCACCCCGGCTCAGCAAAATGTCGTGATATGTCACGATTTGTCACATGACATGATCGAGTTTGAGATCCATGATCTAGTCCATTATACCTCTCCAGAGCTTTCTAGCTTATCAGCTACGTCAAAGCACAACTTTCTTAGTTTTCCCATTTCTCTTGACTCTTTCACTTTTCCTTCATAGATTTGTCCTCATTCTTTCTGTCTGTATATGATCCAATAAACTCACTGTATTTCTTTTGCATTGGTCACTTTCTTTTATATTCAGTTCACATTGAATTGGCATCTGTTACATTTTTGATCCTATCTCTTGTTATTATATCACATACACTTCTTCAGCAGAATATTATATTCAACAGAATATAATTCCTGTTATATTCAATATACTTTGCTTTTCCTGACACAATTAACTCTCACTTTTGAATTACAAAATGGACAGAAGCTAGCTCTTACATGCAGACATTTCCCGGTCTTTCAACAAGCAATAATTCCTTGCAACAGGCCACATGTTACTCACTTGTCTACCAGCACTTGCACATGTTGTATTTTGGTTCTCAACCAATAACATGGTATCATTTACATACAGAGTACAAATATATTTAGGCCTCCAAGCCACCCAACTTTAACATCATGACTAGTGTTCCTTATATATTAACACATTAAACAATTAAGAAAATGTCATTCTTTCTCACTTTTACTTCCTGCCCAACTTAAAACATTTACTTGGCATTTCATTCATTCTCATGTACATTTTACTTTCAGAACATCCTACTCTTATCACTTTCAAAAACCAATCTTCTCTTTACTTTTCTACCATCTTCCAGGAGGGTAACTGAACTTCTTTGCTTCTCATTCCATTGGCACAATGCCTACACTTTCTCCATGGTGACAAGGAAGATAATAGCACCCTTCTATTTCTTCACCACAGTTCACCACAAGCAAATAACAGGAACCCAAACAATTTGTGAATCTAGCAGGGTATAGCTTTTTTTATTGCAGGCCTTACCACTCAGCAGGTGCTCCAGGGATCCCACTGCCAGCAGATGGCACCATTACAGCATTCCTCTCTTCTGTAAGGGTCAACCTCATCTCTAACAGCTGAGCTTCTCGATCAACATCATCTTCTGATTTGTCTGGAAAAGGTTAAGAAAGTTTCACTATACACTCAACAACACCTCCAAAGATGACTTCAATGAAAATTGGAAGGGACCTCAGGAAACCATATCAGAAAATGGCAGCATCTGGCTGGCTTTGTTCCTATAGATTTAGCAGGTTAATACTTCAATGGGAGAGCATCAAAAATACCAGGGTTGTAGCCTAGATTGGGAAGTCAATAAAGGTAAAGGTAAAGGTTCCCCTTGCTCATATGTGCTAGTCGTTCCTGACTCTAGGGGGCATTGCTCATCTCCGTTTCAAAGCCGAAGAGCTAGAGCTGTCCAAAGACATCTCCATGGTCATGTGGCCGGCATTACTAAACGCCAAAGGTGCACAGAATGCTGTTACCTTCCCACCAAAGGTGGTCCCTATTTTTCTACTTGCATTTTTTACGTGCTTTCGAAGTGCTAGGTTGGCAGAAGCTGAGACAAGTAACGGGAGTTCACCCCGTTACGTAGCACTAGGGATTCAAACCGCTGAACTGCCAACCTTTCAATTGTCTTAGCCACTGAGCCACCGCGCCCCTTTATTGGGAAGTCAATAAATATCCACAAACTACTCATCTACTATTGCCAAGAAAACTACTTAGTTGTGTTCCACAAACTACTCATCTACTATTGCCAAGAAAACTACTTAGTTGTGTCCATGTAATCAACAGAATCAGATCTGGCTTGAGGACTGATTAACTTTTACTAGAGATCACAAAGCCCTAATCTTTCACCCTTGCCTTAAACTGCAAGAAGAAATACATACATTGTTAAGGATACTTGGGAGGACTTTTAAAATCCTCTTCAACAGTTGTATTAATGCTGATCTGTATATTCTTCTAAAGTACATATGGGTATAGGCAGAAGATGCCATGCCTGGTAGTTCCATTGTGGCCTCTTCTATTTTTACCTGCACGTATACCGCTCTTTCAGTCCTATATCACCTTGTGTTGAGCAGATAGGCCTGGAGCTGTTCTACGTGCACTCAGTAGTCTGAGTGCAAGGATGACTTTCCATGCAGCTGAGGATGCCCTGAACGTGTTTCAGGTTTCTTAGCTTCCCAACAACTTTGGCAGCAGTTGCAATGGAAAATAACGAACTACTTATGCTTACCAGGCTTTCCCACAAGTTTCTGCAGTTGTTGATCTAGATACTCTTGGCGTTTTGTAAGAGCATTTAACCATTTCCTGCGCAGCCTTTCTAGATCTCTATCCTGTGAAGAAATGACATTTAAAAAAAATAACATAACAAATCATCCAGAAGTAATAGTTTGCTTCTGAATGTGGCTGCCTGAATCTCTGCACGCAAAATGTTTTGAAACTCAGGTCTCAGGACAAAGAAATAGCCACTGAAAGTAAAACAAAAGGAAAAAAAAGCAATGTGCTAAAGGTAACTATCAGTACCCTTAGTTGCACTTGTAAGGCCATAGGTAACCAGTGCAGCTCATGCAATAGCAGTGGAACATGAGTGTAACGCCATATGCCTATAACTACCATATTTTTCTGAGCATAAGACACACCTTTTCCCCCCAAAAAAGAAGGTGAAAATCTGGGTGCGTCTTATACTCCGAATGTAGCCCCACCCAGCCTCTCAAACGGAGGTTTCAGAGGCTGAAAAAAGCCTCCCAACAGAGCTTCAGAAAAAAAAAGCCTCTGAAAGGAAGCTTCAGGAAAAAAAGCCTCCAAACAGAGCTTCTGAAAAAAAAGCCTCAGAAACGAAGTTTCAGAGGCTTTTTTCCTGAAGTTCTGTTTCGGAGGCTTTCAGAGGCTGATAAAAAAGCAAGGCACACAGCTCACAACCAACGAACCTGTTGCTAAAATTCACCTCTGGGAACAGCTGATTGGGGGTATTCTGGGAGGCCATCCACCCGCCAATCAGCTTTTTTCTTATTTTCCTCCCCAAAAACTAAGGTGCGTCTTATACTCTGGACTAGCCACAGCTTTCGAGTGTTCTTCAAAGGAATTTCAACATGATTGTGTAATAATAGTCCAAGCAAGAGCTAACTAGGGGACATATTACTGTGGAGGGTCTCCCAATCCAGGAATGAGTACAATTGATACACAAGAAGGATTACAATAATGCAAAGATCTTTGTCCCCATGGTTGACATCTGCTCTTCCAGCATAAACCAGAAATCTAGAACTCCCAAATTGCTCTTCAGTTCCACAAGGGATACTGCAACCTGAACTAATACTAACAACTGAAGTCCTCCAAATCCACATGCACTTGTTTTGTATAGTTGACATTAAGTCTGGTCATCTCCCTCCAGACTCCCACAATCTACTGACACTGAGACAATGCTTGATTGGCCCAGAATTAAGATATACATCAGGGTATCATCAGTGGACGGATGATATGTAACTGTATGTCACTGAATGATCTTGCCCAGCAGCTTCATGTTAATGTTAAACAATGAAGAGAATTTAGAACCCTGCCACAGGGGTCTAGGGTCAGACTGCACCCACCCACCCCAAATATCTGGAACTGGCCAGTGAAAAGAATTTTTTTTGTGTGCCATCCATTCCTAATCCTCTGAGCCAGTCTAGAAGTATATAATGACTGATGGTTTGAAAACTGACCAGAAATCAAGAATCCAACTGATTAGATAATTTTCATTTATTTATTAAATAAATAAATATCTCACTATCCAAAGCTCTATCCCCATCACAAGTCTTCCAAAGCAGTCCATAAGTATAGCCAATGCTGTCTCAGTTCTATGCCCAGACATATTTTATTCTTACCACGTGTTTTTAAAGAAAATTATCTTACTTGACTAATGACCATAACAACACTAATAACTTTTGTTTAGAAAATACAATACCCTGTTTCCCCCAAAATAAGACATCCCCTGATAATAAGCCCAATCGGGCTTTTGAGCACACAGCAATAAGGCCAAGCGCTTATTTCAGGGTTCAAAAAAAATATAAGACAGGGTCTTATTTTCGGGGAAACACGGGATTGAACCCGTGAATCAAGAGATAGAATATAACGACACTGTTATTTTTCTAACGAAAAAAGGCTAAATAATTCAAAGAAGATACTAATCGCAAGATATTTACCTGATAACTGTCCATGTCATCAACTTCTTCCTATGTAAAAACCATGCAAAGTCACATAAATTCCAAAATTTTTGCAGCCAAATTTATATCAAATATGCATATATTATGTACAAGGAAAGACTCTCAGTTAATAGGTCCCCATGGTAGAGAAACACTCTCATTTATAGTTTATTTTTGAATCAATTGTTCTTGGGGAAAAAGATAGGAGATATGGGAGTGCTGAAATTCTGGGATAAAAATGCTCCACCAGCTTTCTAAAATAGCTATTAGAATATGTTTTTAAAAAGTATCACAAGTTGTTTCTCTTAAGCATTATATAGGAATGTGTGTTAAATGATGTATTTTTGTGCAAGTTCTGAATGGTAATAGGCCTCAAAAATTGTGGATGGCTGCAGCCTGATGCTTTGTTAAGAAATCTACCTTCTTGCTCAGAAAAATGACAAAAGGCTAACTTGGGTTATGGAGAGCATCCTATGCACCAATAAACCATAAGCACTGATGAAGTTACCTAGTTTGGGTAATGAAAAGTCTGCAAGAAAACAACCCAAGGGAGCACCAAGGACTCCTACATCCTGTGCAGCCAAGGAGATGGATGGGGGAAGTCTCAACTATTTGCCTTCTAGTAAATGGATACTTTTGTGTTAGTTTGATGTGGTGCTTAAGATACCAGGAAGACCCTAGAAACCAGAAGGTTCTGAATTCTAGTCCTGCCTTAAGCAAAAAGCCAGCGCGGTCACTCTGTCTCAGCTCTAGGAAGGAGGCAATGTCAAATCACTTTTGAAATCGTGCCAAGAAAACCACAGGGACCTGTCCAATGGTGACTCAAAGGCACGCACACATATGCAAAAAGGATGCTTCATGGCCATAGTAATTGCTTGATCAATGGGAAGCCCTCTGCTATAGTCAATTCGTAAACACCCAAAACATGTTCTCTACATTCAAAATACATACACACATGTAAATTATTGTCTTTCTGAAAGCAGGCGTAGAGAACACCATTCACTGACAGGTGTGAACATTCAACCTCCAGCTTTCAAACAGTACAGCTCCCTGTCTCACACAGATGTATGTGACTCAGCACATATCAAAACTCTGATGGGCTCAAGAAAGTGGGTTCTAATTCACCATTCCATTCTGCATGACAGGTCTGCAAGTTAAAACATAGAGGAGAAGAAATGCAGTAAGCTTATTTGTCCAAGTAATTCAGAATGACCCACTCATTCCAGAAACTGAAGCAGAGAAAGTTCCCTGCCAATGATTTACAGATAGATGTTTTTGTGAGTGGATTTGACGTATATGCATGAACACACTTAACTGCTTTGGTATGCAACAATAAGAATCTTCTACCTGATAATTCTCATGACTTTTTGGTGACTTGATATATCTGATCTGCACACAGCCCACTGCTACAGATAAGATGGATTCTTCCACGAGGGGCAATGTTCCTGATTCTTGCACAGATTTCACTTCCACTTGGATTCGGTGTGACTGTCCCTGTACATCCAGAGAAAATATTGTAAAAAGCAGTATAGGAAGACCAAGAAGTAAGGGCGACCTCTGCTGGCAAAAAGAGGTCTCAGCATCTTGATCATTCAAACTGATTAATCAAACCATTTGCCCACTCATTCCGAATTGCTCAGGGGGAGAGAGAACAGCAAATTGAAAACACTGTCTGCATTAAGACTACATCATAAAACACTAAGATCATAAAATTATAAAGGTGCCTTACCATGATAGTCAGACAATTAGTTTACCAGTCTAGCATTCCTTAATTCTGACTAGCATCACTCTCCAAGATCTTCGCCAAAGGTCTTTCCCAACCCAGCTATCTGAATTTGTTTGGGGCACATTGCAACCTAGGCCTCTACTCTATGTAAACTTGGTGGTAAACTATTGAGCTATATCTTCTACTAAGAGCTGATCCTAAGCCTGCAAACTAAAACACTCCCACACTATTCCTGAAAGCTGAGCATGAAAAAACATTTCATTTACTAGATGAGTGTTCGCAGTGTGTTGGGACTGCAACTTGCAGAATTGGAATGGGCAGGCGTCTGCTGCAAGTAGTAAATGCCAAACAACTGGAAGGTTCCAGGATGGGGAAAGCTACACTAGAACTACAATAGTGTAGGCTTTAGAAAGTACAGATAGAGCAATACCAACATGGTATGGAGCAACTTGTCTTCTTCACTCACATATGCTTATTCATTCATGTGTATGAGATTAATGGCAACTGATCAAAGGAATGGATTTTAACATAAAGTTCTCATTGGCTGATTTCATATAATATGCATAACCCAGTAACTGAATTAATTCATCTTCTGTACATATACTGAAGCACAACTTTCCAATTGGTCTTAATTTGCCCAATGCTAATCTTAATGAAGGTTGATGCTAAGATTTCTATTTTGTGCAAATGCATCTAAAAGCTTAGCTGGTCAGTTACATCTAGAGCAAGGGTGTCAAAGTCACATCGTCACGGCGGCATCACGTGACATATCAGGACTTTCCCCCCCTTTGCTAAACTGGGTGTGGGCGTGGCCAGCGCATGAAGCATCCGGCCCATGGCCCGGGAGTTTGACAGCCCTAACCTAGAGGAAAGGCTTCTCCACAGAGCCTTTTCTATAGAAAACTAACTAAAACCTCAGATGGTAGAAGGGAGAGACATTAATTTAAAATATCTGTTAAATTACTTCATTTGCATCCATTACACAAATTAATTGAAGAGATGTAAAACATTAATGCTGTAATCATGCAAATGATATACGGTAAATTACATTTACCGTATAGCCGTATATTTTCTAGTCTTGGAAACAACATACTTTGTTGCTTGGGGCGAGAAGTTCAAATTAAAATATCCAAAATCCAGTTAATGGATGTCCAAGGAATTTGAGATTTTTCTATAGTATATCAAGGGAAAGAATTCTGTGATGTGAACAAGTTTAGTCTTCCTCAGAGGTGCTTAGAACAGTAGAGCAAATAAGGGGAAGGAAAATGTGATGCTAAGTAGCCTATGTTTGTTTATGCTACCAAGGGAAGAAGGGAGTAGCCTGAACATCATTTGACAAAAGCCAAATTCATAGTGTTTATGTAGTCAAATCAACCACACCTCTAAAAAGAGAGGCAACGTAATAACTATTGACATTATTGATGGTCTTTACCATCAGGTGGTTGAGATGCGATCCTAGGTAGAGGCCAGATGTAGGGTCTCCTGCTTAGGCAAGGGGTTGGACTCCCAACTCTGTTAATCTGTTAAAATCTTACCTGCTTGAGCTGGAAAATGCCACCTGTATGTACATCCTTTGGTGTAGTTACTTCTACTGGACAGTATTCTCCATTCTCATTGAGTTCCAGAATCTGAACCCAGAGCTCTACTTTGCGGGTGACCTCACTCCACCTACCAAAACACAATTTTTGAGACCAATGAAACACTATGCCTTCCAGAAAAGTGCTCAAAGATTTTACTTTGCTTTGGAAACTATACACCAAGAGAAGAGAATTTTGCAAGTATAAGGATGTATGCGTGAAAGAGAGAAAGAGGGAGTATATAGGGGCAAGAAAGAATGCAAGAAAGGGAGCATATGTGTGCGTGCATGGGAAAGAAACATTAAAAAGGGAAATAGTTTCAATGGAGCTTCACTTCAGTTGGGAAAACACATTTAAGTTTCCCTTGTGGTTACGCCTAAGTTACTTAAGAATATCAAATTTTGCCAACATTGGCATTTACGTTTTGAAAAGAGCTACATATTGAATTGAGTTGAAACCGACTCCATTCCTAATATAGCTATAATAGAATCTTGAGATTTTAGAAAAGCAGTGATTTAAGAGTAGAGGGAAGAGTTGTGGCAGAATGCAAACCAGAAGGAGAGAAGGTAGTAATGCTCCCCCCCCACTCCCATGGCCTTTGGGAATAGATTGGAAGATCGGAAGAAAGTGCACAATAACTCATATTTTGCTTATAAAACTTCTCTTCTGACTTCTACACAGTTTTCCCTCACAAGTTTTAAATGTGCTCATCAGCTAAGTGCCACCTCTTTTACCTGTCTCGGAGGCTTCGTGTTTTGGCTTGAATTATTCCTAAATCCCACAGTGTTGGGTTTTTGCGAGAATCACACTGCTTATGTCCGTACACTTCAATTGCTAGAGCACCATCAGAAAGATATTCCATAAAATCTTCAGTGATATTGACAGAGAATTCCTAGTCAGAAAAGGATTAAAATGAAAATGCATCGTGCACTTCCTTCCCTACTATTGCAACATCTAGATGCTGAAATAAGGGAGCAAACATGTTAGCATACATTAGTCTCAATAGGATACCTGAACTGGAACAATCAACAGCTGAGATCTGCAACCTTAACAGAAAGCTTAAATCACTATGATAAATGGAGTACCAGAAGGATCTAGAGAGCAATTTAGAAAGCTTTATGCTTGGAATCCTGAAGCAAACCACAGGGGGAAACATAGCAAAATTAATGGATGGAATTTGCTGTCCTACTTCTGGAGATTTATTATTGCTTTTCATTATGATGAATTCATTTCTCTCTTCCATGTGATGTTGCCTGATTGTACAGCTTCGACAGGCAAGTAACCAGCAGTCTTTTGGAAAGATTATATATGCATGTTGAAAGCTCCAAGTTGTAAGACAAATATATTATCAAGAATAATATACTATAACATATATACATATATTTCTTCATAACATATATTCTCTTACAACTTGGAGCTTTCAATATGCATAGATACTATTTTTATCAGTTTCAAGTGGCATATCAGTATTGCCCATTTGCAATACAAAGGCAATAATAATGTAGAGTTGCTATGCTGGGTTCTAGTTATGATTAGAATAGGGTTTAGATATGAGCAGCTCTTTACAAGCATTTCCATCCACTAAATTACCTTTCCTGAACCTGTTGTCTTCAAGATGGTGTGGTGGAGAATGCAATGTTACACACGGAAAGGGTACCAGCCTAAATCACATCGAGAATCACTTTCAACAATCTGAATCTGCTGGGTTTTATGCCAGAAGCAGCTGAGATATAGTTGATCAACATTAAGAACGGGGCTACTTGGGTGCTGACATTAATTTAAATTGTTTTTAAAGGGATAGGAACAGTTTTTTAAAAGTGCTGGAAAAAAGGAAGGGAGAGAGAGAGAGCTTATATTGTTCAACAATATACTGAATTATAATTTGTTTTATAAAGCTTTTGCATTGTTTTTCTATTTTTGTTTTTACTAAGGGCTTTTTTTAAATAAAAAAAATCAGAACATTTCAATTTTATAAGCCATCATAAGAATTGATTTCAGTTTTAATGACATGGTATGCATGCTTTAGACTAGGGGTGTCAAACTCAAGGCCCACAAGCAGCATCCGGCCAACAGGGGGCTTAGATGTGGCCCACGAGACAGCCCTGGAAACAGCGAAGGATTGGCCTGCGGTGCCTCTGCCAGTGAAAAGAACTCAGGAGGACTATACGTGGCCCTCCCAAGCTTTGTTTTTGGCTGCAATGGCCTCCTGCAGTGCTCTGCCAAAGGAAACAGAGCTCCGGAGCGCTGCGCACAGCCCTCCCAAGCTCCCTTTTTGGCTACAATGGCCTCTTGCGGCGCTCTGCCAGTGAAAACAGAGTTCAGGAGGGCCACACATTGCCCTCCCAAGCTCTGTTTTCACTGGTACAGCACTGGAGGCCATTGCAGCCAAACAGGGAGCCCAGGACGGATGCCCCCAACATGAGTGACATCGAGGTGACCACGCCCATCCTGGTCTCCCCGCCCCCCCGGGATCAAACACAACCCTGATGCGGCCCTCAATGAAATCGAGTTTGACACCCCTGGTTTAGACTGTATAAAAGAAGTTTGAAGAACTTGCTTACATTAGAAAACTGTTGTGGAAAAAGGGGAGGGATCTGAGTGTTTGAGATAGGCTTTTCCAGAATAGCCTTTTGTACTTTTAAGAGTCCCCAGAAGAAAAATGATCCATGGAAAACACTGTAGCTCAGCAAATAAGAGACAGTCAGCCTGAATTACATATAGCACATATGTTTCCCAGGACTAGATGTTTATTAACTGGGACAATCACATAAGACTGTGCTGTCTTTCCTATTGTTTCTAGTTTGTTCCAAGATGCAATGCAAAATGCTGGTTTTGGTTTCTAAAGCTCTAAATGGTTGGGACTTTCTTATCTGAAGAGTCACACCCTGTCTCATTTTCTACCTGGACTTTGGTCCTTTGTAGAATCCTAAAACGAAATTCAGAGGGTGTGCACTAAGGAAAAAGGCATTTCTTCCAATGCTGAAATCTTGGTTATTAAAAGCTTTTTCCTATAGAAGTCCAACCTACTTTATACTTTTTTTCAGTGAACAATCATTTTCCCTTTATTTCAGGCTTATTGAGATTTTTGATATAGAAGTTTTTAAAGAACTTTCAAACTCTTTAAGATCCTGATAATTTTGAATTTCTAGAATTTTTATGTACATGGTAAAAAAAATTAAGGATATTTCCCGATTTCTGAATTTTAAACATTTCTGCCACTGGTTATAAGTAGTTTTTGATTTTTTAAAACATTATTTTAACTCCTAATGGAAGTGAACCAGAGAATTCCAATTATGTGACAGCCTAGAAATATTCTAAATAGATAGAGTATATATATATATATAATGTTTAGCCTAATAAATGCTAGAAAAAAGAGAGATTTGGAGCAATGCCACTTTAAACCAAGAATCCTGATATTCAGTCATTAGCTGCTTGCTTATTGAGACCATATTTTCAATTCTGGTTACAGGTAAATATAAACAGTATCAACAAAAGAATGTGACATGCAGGATTATAATTCATTACGACTATACATGACAACATTCATAAGCTAACAATCTGTTTAGAACTGGCTTATGAATATAATACATTCTTTAGGTGCAAAAAAACAGTATCTTTCATGTGGATGTTATGGTAAGCTATCTCTATGTTTTTATGTTTCAAAGAATGGGTTGCCAAGCATTCCCATTTTATTACCATGTTTCCCCGAAAATAAGACCCTGTCTTATATTTTTTTTTCACCCTGAAATAAGCGCTTGGCCTTATTGCCATGCGCTCAAAAGCCCGATTGGGCTTATTATCTTATTTTGGGGGAAACAGTACTAATAGCAGAATTTCAAGCTTAAAATGCGACACATACATAGCACCACTCACATGTACTGTGTTTTCCCCCAAATAAGACCCTGTCTTATATTTTTTTGAACCCCGAAATAAGCTCTTGGCCTTATTTTCGGGGAGGTCTTATTATTTTGGGGCACATGGAGCAAGATGGGGCTCTTCTTGCCGTCTTACCTGATTTCCAGCTCTGCGTTTAAATATTTTCGGGGAGGGCTTATTTTCGAGGGGAGGCTTATTTTAGTGCATGCGCTCAAAAGCCCGATTGGGCTTATTATCAGAGGATGTCTTATTTTGGGGGAAACAGGGTAATACCCAGTTGGGATTTTTAAAATCATGATTCATTAAACAGTCTGTAATGACCTGAATATATGTGTTAAGATCATATGTAATTCTGTTTCTACACACACACACACACACACACACACACACACACACACATTATAGCTTAGCATCATTTCAGAATTAAAATTCAGGAAGAAATTTCAGGAAGAAAACATTTTGCCCACCCATCCTGGCAAGCACTTGAATCACGAGATAGCAATAAAAACAATTACATTGCAATGATCGAAGACAACCATACACCGTGGCTCCTTGCTGATGGGAGACAAAGAAGGATCCATTTCAGGGGCAACCATCACAGGTTCCAGCTGGTCCCAGAAAGAATACTTGCAGAACACAAAATTGGAGAGATGCTGAGGCAAACCAGTCGCTTGAAGGATTTTAATCTAGGGAATTAAAAGGGGCACATAAAACACATATACAGGTCACGACAATAAATAATGAATAGGGTGCATTCCATAACAATTCAATGTATCTTTATAGAAATGGCTTGTTCGTATTATTATGAAAAAGCAAAAAGTTGTGATTTGATGTTAATGCCTTATTTTACTATAACAGAGAGAGTCGGAAATCATCTTTTTCTTCTCGTCTTTCTTCATTTCTCCTTTCCTCCCCTCCCCACACTGCTTTTCTATTTACTTTGTACTTTGCATTTTACAATACTTTATTAATTCAATAAAAAATGTTGACGACAAAATAACAGTTCAATATAAAATGTAGCATAGCTAGTTTGTTCAGACTAATGTCTGCCTTATAAAATCAGAAGCTTCCATAACAGGCAGTATTTAACTAAAATCTGTCTTAAATTATGTCTTGAAATAAACTTCTCCACCAGGGGTCAGCACAGGAACAGACCTATGCTGTCTGTTCTTAAAGGTTGCTTCACTATAAAACAGAAACTAAACCAGAAGACTTCTTTATCTTTATCTTTATTTGAAGATAGGACTTTGCTCCAATACAAATACATTGTATTGCTCCAATACAACTCACATATTTGTCTTTGTGACCGTTGGAAAAAAAAAAAAACCAGTAAAAGTTATGTACTTTGAGCTACCAAACTTTCACTTTAAACAAACTTCCGCAATAAAATGAATACATGAGTACATTCGAATGGGTATAGTTAGGCAGACACAGTAGTGATTAAACCTGACAGATTGCTTTGGCCCCACAGCTCTAGCATTTATACGTAAAACTAACTTAGGCCACTCTTCTTCCAGTTGCTGCCCTTCCAACATATTACACAATATGCATCACCCTTAGCCAGCACATTCAGAGGTCACAATAGCATTTTTAAAGTCAGAGTGGACTCCAGTCGACTCTGGTTCTCTTGGTAAGGTTTCAGAAGTGGCTTGCCACTGCCTCCTTCCTAGGACTGAGAGGGGGACTGGTCCAAGGTCACTCTGCTGATTTCATGCTTAAGGCTGAACCAGAACTCAGGGCCTTAATTTGGTTTGTCGCCCAATGCCTTAATCATTACACCAAAGGTGTCAAACTCAAGGCCCGCAGGCCAGATCTGTCCTGCGGGACCACCCTGGAAACAGCGAAGAACCAGCTCGTGGCGCCTTTGTCAGTGAAAACGGAGCCGCAGGCGGCCCTCCCGAGTTCCGTTTTCACTGGCAGAGGGTTGCAGCCAAAAATAGAGCTCAGGAGCCTGTTTTTGCTGGCAGAGCACTCGGGCCACCACAGGCACCGACACGAGTGACATTGAGCTGGCCACACCCACCCTGCCCCGCCCCCCGAGGTCAGGCACAACCCTGATTCAGCCCTCAATGAAATAGAGTTTGACATCCCTGCATTACATCAAACTGACTCTCCACAATAACTATAATTAAAATTATAATCCAAAGAACACACAGTTCAGGACAGGCAGGCTTTTCTCTGTCAAACTGTTTTATTTTGGAAAAGCAAAATTAGGAAAGTTTTCAGAGAACTCACCATGCACACTAACTTGTGTTCCTGCAAATCATTTTCAAAGCAGCCCTCCAAGCTGTCATCGCCTCCTGCAATTCTCTCCCCGACATCTCCACTCACACGTACCACTTCAACATGCAGGCGACCTGCTACCTGATAAGGCACAAATCCCAGAGAGAGGAGGGGTAAGGTTCTTGGAAGCAAATGAAACTACATTATTGGAAATAAAATATTCATTAGCAAAACTCTCATCAAACCCTGCTGCCCTAAACAGAAGTACAGATTTTTCAGAGGGATTCAAAAATTTTCTACTGTTCTGCCTCAGGAAATACTGGCCTTCAATTTTCATTTTTCTCTTGGGCTTTTTAAGATCTATAATTTAATGTCTGCAATCTACTTTAAATTCTGGGGCTGCAAGTTCTTTTTAGCCCCGATAAATTTCGTTGCTATGTATTTATCTGAGTTGTTGCCCTGCACTGGGTTTGAAATGATTTATTGGGATGCCTATTGCAGTATTATGTTTTGAAGTGATTGTTTAGTGCTGGGGGGGAAATCACTCTATTATGTATTTATCATATCCAAGAAATTAAAAGTAAAAATTGGGCATGCCATTCTGCATCCTATGCCCTGAGCTGGGAGATGTGGCACCAACAAAGTAATGCAAATATTCATGTTGTATATATTCCAAGAAGAGGCAGACAATTATCAAGGGATTAATCCTCTCTGAGTATCCAATGGAGAAGCAAATGGTAATAAACTGGGAAAAGTAATCTCTTCTTTCTTCTATTTCAACTTCAAGGATCATACAGCTCTGTGATAATATCAGAGATGTTGAGAGAAATTGTCCTTCAAGAGAGGTTTACCTAAAAGGAGCTTAGGACAAGTTTCAACTGTTTGTTTTAAAAGCATTTCTAGATTGCCTCACTCGCAGTGAACGCTGGATCGCAAACAACAGAACAATAACAATACAATTAAAGCAAATCTCCCTTAATACATATTAAAAATCATCATGGGTCCCTCACTCAGTCTGGCCAAAGGCACAATGGAATAACAAAATAACAGGGTTGGAAGGGACCTTGGAGGTCTTCTAGTCCAACCCCCTGCTCAGGCAGGAAACCCTATATCATTTCAGACAAATGGTTGTCCAATCTCTTCTTAAAAACTTCCAGTGTTGGAGCATTCATAACTTCTAGAAGCAAGTTGTTCCACTGATTAATTATTCTAACTGTCAGGAAATGTCTCCTTAGTTCTAAGTTGGACCTCTCTTTGATAAGTCACCATCTGTTACTTCTTGTCCTGCCCTCAGGTGCTTTGGAGAATAGGTTGACTCCCTCTTCTTTGTGGCAACCTCTTAAGATTGTCAAGAGCGGGGAAAGGGGGAGGGGATAGAGTTCCAAAAAATGGAAGGATTGTTGACTAGTCTGTATCCAGTACCAAAAAAAAGTGGGAGACTCTCAGCAGATTCTTTAATGACCATTTTGCAATCTTTTTCTCTCCACACAAAAATAAACTAAACGAAAGAAAAAATATGACAAGAGTGAAAGTTTCTCCATGTAAACCTACATAATGAGATTAATAATGTGCTGAATTCTATGTGTGAAGTAGTTGTGAAGATGAAGGATGATTCCTTCATTTGCATTTCCACTTGTTGTAGGAATGGTATGGCTGAGGAACAGGTTTATCAGTTTAATGAGAACTAGTCATCCACTAGTTGTCCCTAGTTCTGGTTTTCTTATACACTGGTCAACATGGGTCCTATAGGAGATCTGTGTAGAGGAGGAGAAGGGCTTATCCCAGATTTTAAAAATCAGCTTTGTCATGCCTGTTTATACAGTTCATGTGATTATCAAATCAGTTCCTTCCAAGACAAACTCAGGGGCAAACTGGGAAGAAAATTAGGAAAAATTAAAAAGCGATTAAATGCAACTGCCTATATTTGAGGCATCGATATCAAAAGATAGAGAATCAATAGTAATTGTGCACAGAGCTGTGATTCTTAAATAAGTAACTGAGTAATTATGTGACTGGATAGTGATTAATAATTGATCGTGCAGAAAGATACCTCTCCTTTCTGATTGATGATGGGCACAGCATACTGTAGCTTCACATCATAAAAGAGACTCTCAAGGAAGACATTGGCGACTCCAATGAGGCTGTGGTTCTTTTGCTCATCATAAAAAGGATCTGCTCTCCGAAAATAAGACCTCATAACCTTGAGTTGAATAGAAGGGAAGAAAGAGTGAACAACATGTATGATGATTAGATCCTCTTACGACAGAAGTTCAATTTGGAAGTGGAATCATATTCTCCCTTGTAACAGACATCTTAATAAGTCAGAAAGACCCATTCTCCTTCTTATCAGTTCATTTTCAGTCACCTTAATATGGTGTCTCTAACATGGTTTAATCCAGCCTTCCACAATGATAGGCCTTCGGGAATAAAGACCATGCTAGAGGGGAATTCTGGGAGGGCAGCATGTTGAGAAGGCTGATTTAATCACCTGTGAGCATTGCACAGGAAGACATACCGAAGGTAGCTGCCTACGTACCATTAAGTCATGTGATTTGTTTTTGTTTTAGCCCAATCACAACCCAGATTCTATTTATAATCACAAGCCAGATTCTATTTACAACGAGAAGTAGTTTGCTGTAGCTATTTTTGGAAACCAGGTTATGAACCCATTCAGAGAGGACTGTAGGTGTGCATAAGAATAGAATAGAATACTTAATTTGACCAGGTGTTATTAGACACACAAGGAACTTGTCTCCGGTGCAGAAGCTCTCAATGTACATGCAAAGCAATGGAGTAATCATCATCATCATCATCATAACACCAGTAAATGAGGGTAGTAAGGAAGATAAGAAGGATAATAATACTACAGCCATACAACATGGGTAAATATACATAGACAACAGAATACTGTGAGAATTGGATGTTCAGCAGAGTGATGTCATGAGGAAAATACTGTCCCTGTGTCTACTTGTTTTGGCATGCAATGCCCTGTAGCGGCGTCCTGAGGGGAGGAGTTGAGACAGTTTATTTCCAGGATGTGAGGGGTCTGTATTTTCTCAGCCCTCTTTCTGACCTGTGCAAAATACAGGTGCCTTGCTTTCTCTTATTCAACAATCAGGCAATGAGTGAAGGGGAAAAAATTCTACCTGAGAGCTTGAAAGGTTGCCAGACCAGGAAAAAAAAAAATTCACCCCACCCCACTCCCTTTCACTTTGCTCAGAGGACCATCGAGAGAAGAGGGAAAATAGAGGAAGACAAGAAGGGTTCTGGGTTATTTCTTATAAGGCTTATTTTATTGTGTTACTGTGTATTATAACTGAAACATATTTAAAGACAAGAGTTAATGGGAACACCGCAGAATTACCTAGTTAAAAGAACAAAAGTTCAAACTTCTAATGGCCCTACTTAAAAGCCACAGATAATGTTATTTTGGTTCAGTCTATGTAATTATTTTTGGAGCTTCAAAGATGCAGCAATTAATTATGGAAAAGCACACACTCTCATAAAACAAAATCGTAGTACGATTTAGGATAGTCCTCTTTGTACAACGGAGATAACAAACTGCCTCATATGGCTTTGGGGCAAGATAAGCCACAGATAAATATTTCCTTTGCAAACTGAACATGTCACATGAAAGATAAGTAAAAATGCTGTGGTGGAACTGATCCTTCTACCCTCAACTTCATGTTCATTGTCTCACTGGTTGGGTTGACCATATTTACATGCATGTATGTGGTGGCTGGGTGGGTGGGTGGGTAAGTGGATGGCCACCTTCAAAGGATGGAGTGATGTTCAAGCCTATAGGATCTTTGTCATTTTCTCACTTTCAAAGAAAGCTAATGCCAAGATGCAGCATCATTCTCAAGGTATAACTTGATTTAAACATTGTGGCCAACAACACAGGAGAAGCAAAAAAATAATCTAGGCATTCCTAGTTTTCAAGTCTGCTTCTTCCCAGCAATACAAAAGCAAAATGATGTTTTTATCTTTTCTCTTACTATTGTCATCCTGCCTAACTTTGGGGCAAAAAAAAATATATCTCTTTTAAAGATTTTCAGCCCATAATTAAAAAAAAATAGCAGGAAAAGAAGAATCTTCTCTAAGTATCACATATATGGAAACATGTTCCTTTACCTCCTGGTCTCAACATGTAGCTTCCATGAGTGTTAAGTTTAATTTAATGTTATCCAAGGCTGTTGGGATCCAGTTTGTTGTAGTGGTTAGGGAATCAGTCTAGAAACTGGGAGACTATGAATTCTAGTTCCACCTTAGGGACAAAGATAGCTGGGTGACTTGGGGACAGACACTCTCTCTCAGTCTAGGAAACAGGCAATGGCAAAGCACTCCTGAAATCTTGCCAAAAAAACTTGCCCAGGCAGTCTCCAAGAGCCAAAACTGATTCCAACTTCCAAGGCTGTTAAGCCAGGTTAGTTGAGGAAAATAAGATAGCAATACAACACATACACAGTAAACTAAGCTGATAAACCATGTTTCACCAATTAAGGAAAGGTTTGTCCCCACATCTACTCCACTTACCAGGTTGTCTTCCTCGCAGTCTTTCCATTCTTGATAGAGGTCTCGCATATCTACCAACCGGTTCTCCAGTTTCTCCAGGGACCAGATTTGTTTGCCTTTCCCTTTTCGTCTCACCTGAATGGCTGGCTCACTAAGCACTGCACCCCGCTACAAAACACCCAGAAGGAAGAAGAAATGCAAGGAGAGAGAGAGAGAGAGAGAGAGAGAGGGAGAGGGAGAGGGAGAGGGAGAGGGAGAGAGAGGGAGAGAAAGAGAGGGAGGGAGGGAGGGAGGGAGAAGGAAGGAGGAAGGAAGGAAGGAAGGAAGGAGGAAGGAAGGAAGGAAGGAAGGAAGGAAGGAAGGAAGGAAGGAAGAACAATCAATGCAAATAATGAAAAATCTTTTTGTTACCTGCCTATCTTGAGAATTTGAGTAAGCTCAAGATTGGCAAGCTTTTTCTTGGCCTGGTTGTATTATTGTATTATCTTCTGACACCTCCCAGGGAAGATACAAAAAATTTTTTTTCTACACAAATTTGTCTGCGAAATAAGGGGTGAAATAGACAAATATAGCCTTTTGTTTTGAACATTTTTATGTTGGAGCTCATCAAAGAATGATTGCCTCACCATTAACTTCATTAACTGACAGTTCTGCCAAATTTTATATTAAACGTTTGTTGATTAGCCACATTCCAAGGATGTTATTAAAGTGGGCATGTTTTGTCAGTGGCCTCAAGGTAGAGATTATACTGAAATGTAAGTTATATTAATTTTTTGCACTTGGCAGACTTCATGTAATATGACCCATTTTTCCTTGTAACCAAGATTCAGTAGTATCTTGTTTGGATTTATTCCTATTCTATTGGCCACAATAAATATTCAATTCAAAATCAAGACAAATTTACCTGAGGGTATATTTGAATTCTCTCCCCTCACACCCAATATTGCTTTTAAAAAAAGAGAATCTCAGAAACACTTGTTGAGATGGGAGGTTTTAAAATAAAATAAAATAAAATATGAATAAACAAACAGAATATGACAAAAAGACCACCATCTTATTTGGAATAGTGTATTTGTGAGTTATATAATCTTTCTCTGGAGGAGAAATTTAATCCACTAGATCCACAATTGCTAAATTTACACTTCAAAAGGCATTTTTCAATGTTTAAAGCAAATTGTGATGACAGACTGAACATAAACATTTAAATTGAACTGATGCTTTGATCAGCAGTTCATCATTATAAGATTTATGTGGGTTTTTTTGATAACTGATAGGAACATCAAATCGGCAAATGATCACATGCACTGTGAAATTAAACATTTTCTCCATTTGAGATAATACCCTGCAATTTCTTTCACCATTTTCTCCTCTCTAGTTGAATTTCAGTAGAGTCAGTTTTGAGGAGGCAGAACTTGATATATTTCCCACATTCTTTTCTTGAAATCTGAGCTTCCCCTCCCTTTTTTAAACAGTGGTGAGTCTGCAGCCTTTTTACTTATATCAGTAAAAAGGAATGCCATGTAGGTTACATAGTCATATAGTAATTCACAGAACTTGCCTAACCAGTCAGTTAAAATCCTAGCACTTGGTTAGCAAAAATTCTTCAACTTTGGTTCAAGATTTTAGTTAGTTTAGTGGTTTCTTGGTTAATTTATCATTCAGTATAATAGCTGAACCCAGAAAAGATTTTTAATAAGTCATGACATTAACTAGTTCCATTAATCTGGCCTGTGAGTAGTAAAACTGCACATCAATAAATATAGAACTAGTGCAGATAGATACATGCATGTTTTTAATGACAATAAGTAAATAAATAATTTAACTGCTCAGGTTGTGATAGTTTAAACTGGCTGGGAACTGCCCTTTGCCCTGCTCTAGCAAGTGCCTACTCCCGTTTCATACACATTGCATTAGATCAACAGAAACAAAATTTCTATATCCTGCTTACTGTAAATATCACCTTTGGAACAGGAGGAAATATTTTTCTGGACTGCCATATCTTGGCAGATAACATACTGTATATGTCTGAATAGACTTAAGTGCCTTACCTTTTTGTTTGCATTAAGGCTTGAGGCTGGGATTTGGAGGGTGACCTTGTATTCAGTCCTTTTGTCCATTTCTTCTGCAATGAAGCTGGCTTCTCTAACATACAAGTTGGCCTTCATAATCTGCTCCCTCAATTTCCTCAGGCTGTGGTTGAGCATCTCTTCTCTATTGCAAAACAAGGGAAAGAGAGAAAGGAGGTTGATATTGAAAAGAAAATATTTATTTAGAAACAAACTGCAATAATCACACTGATAAGGATGTTTTGCTTTGGTGCAAATCAGTTAATTATTTTTGCACTAGTGAAAAGAAGGACTAGGGATGACAGAATAGCTAAGGGGCTGCATAAGGAAGAAGGGGTCAAGCTATTCTCCAAAGCACCTGAGGGCAGGATAAGAACCAATGGATGGAAACTTATCAAGGAGAGAAGCAACCTAGAACTAAGGAGAAATTTTCTGACAGTTAGAACAATTAATCAGTAGAAGGATTTACCTCCAGAAGTTATGGGTGCTCCAACACTGAAGGTTTTAAAGAAAAGATTGGACTACCATTTGTCTGAAATGGTATAGGGCTTTGTGCTTGAGCAGGGGGTTGGACTAGAAGACCTCCAAGGTCCCTTCCAGCTCTGTTAATCTATTATTCTGAGCTAGGGGCTATCTGTGTTCTTGGCTAGACTGCAATGTTCATGTGAACTCCTGGCCAGTGAGTTTGGAAGTCCTCCCTTCCAGTTATAGTAACACCGTCTAGATCAGGGGACGCCAACCTTGGCAACTTTAAGACTTGTGGACTTCAACTCCCAGCTTCACTGGCTGAGGAATTCTGGGAGTTGAAGTCCACAAGTCTTAAAGTTGCCCAGGTTGGAGACCCCTAGTTTAGATGATATGGCTTGTCCCTGCAAATTTTCCTTATCATGATGACAGTCATCCTGCATTGCTTGATAGGGGTTTATATAATATTTATATATTTATATAAATATTTAGAAGACACGATCATTGCCATCTTTGCGTGAATGAATCAAAAACATATGTGTGGAGGCCTTCCCATTATTAGGTAGCACTCTTAGGTCACCTACGAGTCTCCATTTGATAGCGTGGAATTCTCTTCCATCAACTCATAGCCTTTTTCTGCAATGAATGCAATACACTCAATATCCCATCCTTAGGCCCAAATCCTTTGTTCATAGAAGTCTCTGCAAATAGCTGCAGTGCCGCCTTTCAGTGACAACATGCGATTCAGTAGCATGCAACAATTTCCTTTTTGCTAATAAAAATGTTGTTCTATTCATTGAGGTATAAAATGAGGTATAAAATGTATCTATTGTCTTAATCTATTGTCTTAATCCAAACATATTAAGAGCCTTGGTGGCGCAGCAGACTAAAGTACTGTTAACTAGCACCAGCTGCCTGCAATTACTGCAAGTTCGAATCTCACCAGGCTCAAGGTTGACTCAGCCTTCCATCCTTTCGAGGTAGGTAAAATGAGGACCCGGATTGTGGGGGCAATAAGCTGACTTTGTATAAAAAAGAACAGCACTTGTGGGGGGGCAAAGCCCTACTAAGCAGGTATATACAAAAGTATGAAGGCTATTGCTTAACACATTGTAAGCCACCCTGAGTGTCTGGAGAAGGGCGGCATATAAATTGAACCAATAAATAAATAAATAAATATGCCAAGACGAGTATTCTCCAAAGAAGAGGACAGGGAAAAAGCCAGACCTTCAAAGTTCATTCCCTTCACCCACCTCTCTTCCGCCCACTGGCGTAAACGTTGCTGTGCATTGGGAGAATGGGAGGAAAACCTGTCCATGGTGCGGAAATGCTGCTTTTCTGGAGACAGGCGTCTCCGGAGCTGTTCTAGTTCGTGCTCGTACATAAGTCGCTGACGCTCCAGTGCTGACCGCTTCTCCTCTTCATGCTGTTGCTCTAGACTTTGTAAAATGGACTGCATTGGATCTAAGCAGAGAGGAAGAAAGATGTCACAAGGTAAAAGCCTAGAACGGGATATCCAAGCTTGGGAACTTTAAGAGCTATGGACTTCAACTCCCAGAATTCCCCAGCCGGTCAAGTGCACAAATCTTAAAGCTGCCAAACCTGGACACCCCTGGCCTTGAACAAATGGTTCTACAATAAATTTAAGTGTGGAGCCACAATCTGTTTCTTACACAGGCAGCTTGGTTTTTAAAGGAAGAGAGTAGAGTAGAGTAGAGTAGAGTAGAGTAGAGTAGAGTAGAGTAGAGTAGAAGAGTTTATTGTCACTTTGAATGTACACTAATCGGCATACATTAAAAAGAAATTACATTGCATACAGCTCTCAAAGGGTCTCCACCTCTAATATAAACATAAACATGACAAGATAAATAAATGAATGAATACAGAATTATGCATGTACCCACATATATTATATGACACGGAGAAACAACACAGTCTAGTTCAGATATATACATGTACATGGCAAGAGAAACAAATCTTGCAAGTTTACCAGAGGGATGACATAGGCATAGTATACTTAGAGAAATACAAATGGATCTTTGCCTCAGTTTCCCAGATTACTTGGATAAACCGTTACCTAAATTAGTTTACTTCAGCTTCATTGCACACGAGCTAATATAGCAGAAACCCAGATCTTGGCGTTAGGATTTTTCTTAATCTGGTCCAGTTAACAAACCCAAAGACTGCATTTGTTCCCTCCCTCCCAAATCATTTCATTATACAAAATTAAACTCCTATTCCTTAACATCCAATCTTAATCCTAATTCTGTGTTTGTTTCTATTTCCCTATTTTATTCTACAGCCTTACTTTTAAATTTACGATTATTTCTATCTTATCTAATCAATAAAGTTCGATTTTTATCTCTACATTCCATGTCTATTTTCCCATCTCCATATTTGCAGCATTATGTTTTCCTAAATTAACTACGTCTTAGATGCTTTCTTTACCTCCAGGTTTTCAGCTCCTATACCAGTACCCAGTACATTTGTATGTGAAAACCCTTTTCATTGTTCTATAGCACGGATGATGTCCAGGCTTGGAAAGTTTAAGTCATGTGGACTTCAATTCCCAGAATTCCCCAGCCAGCCTGAAGTCTATAGGTCTTAAACTTGCCAAGGTTGGACCCCCTGCTCTATAGACTTGGCTTTCCCCTCCACCTCACCCCACCCCAGCACTCACTGTCCTCTGTTTCTGGAGCTGGTTTGTGGAGCTCTGTACCTGGGGCTCTGCAGGCAATGGGCCTGCTTCGCTTTGCAGATTCTGCTTGGTCTCTTTTCCCCTGCATTTCTCAGTTCTGCTTCTTAGTCTTGCAGTTCCAAGAATTGCAGCTTTCTTTCACTCCCTGAAAACTGCTGCTTTTGCGTTGAAGGTTTCTCTTTCCTGCTTCTTTGCTGTCTTTTTGGCTTGAATTTTTTTTTTTGACTCACACACGCTGGCTTTCTGTTTTGTTTTATGGGATAAACTTTCCAATTAAGGAGAGGGTGGGGCTGCTGCTTTAACCCTCTTTCCCAGGCAGCACCAAAACTCTGGATCTCATGAGGGAAAAAAAGCTCCCGCTTCACTCTGGGTGGTAAATTTATTCTTCCACACTTGGTCAAATCACAATTAGGCTACTGCAAATGCAAACTGTATGAAGTTGACCTTTAAAGAGTTTCCAGAAGTTTCCTTTGGCACAAAATGAAGCTGCTAGCTGTTAACTCTTGGCATAATGTGAAGGCCATTTTATGTCCATTTAAATGGTTTGCACTCACTTCTGGTTATTTTTCATGCGAGACTCAAGTTGTTGCTTTTCATCTTTAAAGCTCTAAACAGTTTACTTTGGCTACTCAAAGGCTCTCCTTTTTCAGCATGAATCTTTTCTGGGAGAAAGATAAGTAGGAGAGGCCTTTTAAAAGATGGTTCCAATTTCAGAGGTCAGCTTTTTAGATTATGGAATGGAAGTCTCAGGAGTAGCTTCTATTCTCTTAGTTTAGGAAAATAATCCATAGTGTTTTTCAATAATCTTTTGAGCTGATTATTATTATTATTTTGGCTGCCTTGTCTCAGTGGACAGCATCTCTTAATTGAACTTATCTAAGCAGGTTGGAATATGATTACTACTTGGATGGGAAACCACTGAAAAACTCAGGATTGTAGAAGAATTGAAGAGTCAACAAAAGCTTGAAAGGAGGCCATAGCAAACTATTTCTATCTTGTTTCCAAAGAAACAACATGAATATTACCTATGTATCACTCTTTCATTTTCTGGACAAATGGAAAAAAAATTCAGGTAGGCTCAGTGAATCAGTACCTAAATATGAATTTATTAAACTACAAAAAATATAGGATGACAGGCCAAATTACTAAAAAAAAAAAAGCACATCTTGTTTAATACTATACTTGCCCCTTACCAACAGCAGTTACATACATCTTAGTTTATTAGAGATGGGGACAATTGAGGCCAATGTAGAAACAGATAGAAAAGATTATATGTAATTTAATACTGTTTATTCCTCTCTTGTATGACAGAGCTTTCAAACTCAATATTTGATTCTTGTCTAACACCTTGGGCTTGATGGTGCATTGTTTTCTGGGGCATGAGCAAACGATCCTCATCAAAATCTTGCAAAATATTTTAACCCTTGGATAGATACTAGGCTTATATGCAGATTGAGTTATAGCATCCAGACCAGGGCTGTCAAACTCACAGCCCGTGGGCCAGATGCATCACACGCTGCCCATGCCCACACCAGTGGTGGGTTGCTCCCGGTTCGCAAGAATCGGTAGTAAAAATGTTTAGTAGTTCGGAGAACCGGTAATAACATTGGCTGACCATGCCCCCGAATCGCTCCCCACTCACTTACCCCACCCACCTCATCAGAGGCTTTTTTTTTTTTTTACTTTTAAAAGCATTTTTTCTACAACCTCTTCGGCTGAAAAAATGCTTTTAAAAGTAAAAAAAAAAAAGTTGGCCACGCCCACCCGGTCACATTACCCCCACAAGCCACGCCCACAAAATAAGCCACGTCCACAGAACTGGTAGTAAAAAATTTTAGAACCCACCCCTGGCCCACCCCCAGTTTAGCAAAAAGGGGGGAGTCGCAATACGTCACATGACACCGTCGTAATGATGCGAGTTTGACACCCCTGATCTAGGCTATGGAATTGACTGTACTAGGAGGATCAATGGGAATCAGTATAAAAAACTATTAAGACTGCATGTTATCATTCTTTCTTCAGACAATCTTTTGGGATATTTTCAAATGTAACCCAATTGTAAACTACTATCTGTGGGATTATGTGTTTTAAATTCTTCTTCAATTTATAGTGCTAATCTTCCTTGATAATATAAACAAAGTTTATATTATTATTATACATTTGTAGAGTTTCAGGTCTTATAAAACAAACCAAAGCTACACTCATATATAACCTCTTACTATTTTATACATCCATGATATAATCCCTAGAAACTGTATCCTGCACACAAATGACACAAATTGTGTAATTTTTGTGTCATATGCACAATGATGTCATAAAGCATGTGGCATGACTGTGGTTTCTACAGAATGCTTTGGCCACCACTGTTTATCTTCCATGATAACTTGCTATCGCAAAAGTTCATTGCATATAGCAATAGCACTTAGACTTATATACAACTTCATAGTGCTTTACAGCACTCCCTAAGCAGTTTACACAGTCATCATATTGCCCCCAACAATCTGGGTCCTCCTTTCACCGACCTTAGAAGGATGGAAGGCTGAATCAACTTTCAGCCGGTCAGGATCGAACTCCCGGCAGTGGGTAGAGTTAGCCTGCAATACTGCATTCTAACCACTGTGCCACCATGGCTTTTATAGCATACAGACAAATCAAGCAGAAAAACTTTCCCAGTAATCTACGGAGAGTAGTACTGTATTAAAATTATTGTTCAAGACATAATGTATCCCACAGTCGTAACAACATAACCTTGGCTTGCAACCACGTGCAAAATGGCATACCATAAAGTGGAAACAATGCATCCACATTCCTTACCATTTCCTCCAAGAGCTTTCATGGTCACTTCCATCTGGGCATATTCATAGTTGAAGCTGATCTCACTGGATACCTCGCTGGAGCTGTCTCCATCTAAATCCAGCTGTTCAGAGCTGTTGCTTCCTTTCATTGAACTATCTTTGTCTTCATCCTCTGTTTCTACTTTCTTTTTCTTTTTGGGCAAATTCAGCCTTAAACATGAATAGGATAGAATTCTTTATTGGCCAAGTGTGATTGGACACACAAGGAATTTGTCTTGGTGCATATGCTCTCAGCGTACATAAAAGAAAAGATATGTTCATCAAGAATCATAAGGTACAACACTTAATGATAGTCAAAAGGTACAAATAAGCAATCAGGAAACAATATCAATATAAATCGTAAGGATACAAGCAACAAAATTACAATCATACAGTCATAAGTGGAAGGAGATGGGTGGTGGGAACGATGAGAAGATTAATAGTAGTGCAGACTTAGTAAATTGTTTGACAGTGTTGGGGGAATTATTTGTTTAGCAGAGTGATGGCATTCGGGAAAAACCTGTTCTTGTGTCTAGTTGTTCTGGTGTGCATTGCTCTATAGCGTCGTTTTGAGGGTAGGAGTTGAAACAGTTTATGTCCAGGATGTGAGGGGTCTGTAAATATTTTCACAACCCTCTTTTTGACTCGTGCAGTATACAGGTCCTCAATGGAAGGCAGGTTGGTAGTAATTGTTTTTTTCTGCAGTTCTAATTATCCTAAATGCTAACAAACACCCGCCCTTTGAAAACTGGTTTCATTTGATTTTGAAAAACAAATGCAAAGATGCCTTGTCAGTTCCCACAAGGAAAGTCAATTTAGAATCCAACAGGAAGTTGGAAGTCCCAGATCATCAGTGATTGCTGCCAGGTGGGGGAGAGATGGAGAGAGTTGTGGGGATGCAGGGGAGGCTCAGAGTAGGTGAGGGACAGCACATAGGATCTGCAAGATGTGCCATGTGGGTTTGGGGAGTATGCGAGGGGGGAGTACACAAGAGGTGCACAAGAGACCTGGGTTGAGGAGGGTGTATAGGGTTTTGCAAGAGGCACCACAGGGGTCAGGGAAGTGTATGAGAGGTGCTTTGTGGGTGTGGAAGGTTGTGCAGCTCGGTGGGGTATGCAGGATTGTGAAGGTGTATGCAAGGGTGCAAGGGCATGTGAGTGAAAGTTAAGGAAATATCTCTGAAACAATGACCCAAAGAGTCCTGGGTTGTATAGCAACTATACTATAACAATTTTTAAAATTTAGCCATCATACAAGAATTAACATTTTGCTGTAAAATTATGACCATAACATCAAAGAAACAAAGAAACTGGGTTTACAATTCCTGAAATTCCCAGCTAGCATAGTCACTGATCGTGCTGGTTGGAGGGATTTGGGGACTTGCAATTCCAAAATATCTGACAGTTTCCCAGTTGAAGGAGGCTAAACTATCCTGACTTTTAGCAGAGGACAAGACCAGCAGATACATCCTGAAGAGTCAAGCCTCCACAGCCAGCTTTTCAGATATTAAATGGTGCCAAAAGCAATCCAACTCCTGTCTCTCAAAGCTGTACCAATTATAGAAGAAAATGAAAGGAATCAGCAGTTTACCGGAAAAAGTGATTGTTTCCCCACAAAATTCGGTCACCGTGGTGTAGCTGTGTGGGACCTACAACAGCTGTACCATTCACAAATGTCCTGTGTTGGAGGGGAAAAAAAAAATTAAATATAGCCATTCCCACATCGAGGATTTGGCCTGCCCTTAATGCCACATGGCAATGATTAAGAAAAACATAATATGAAGAACTTATTCGATCCCCCTCCTTTAAGCCACAGCAGCAAAGCAGAGACATTGCATGGCAAAATAAACTGTAGACAATCCAACACATCCAAATACTTCCTTTTCCCTTTTGCAAGGAAGCTCCTACAACTGGAGAAGGAAAGTCTTTGGCTAGAATCTTCTTCTTCCTGCTTGAAAGAGGTAGTTGTTTTCTTTTCCAGTTCCCTTTGTAACAATTGTTCCATCTGCTGCTTAACAACCATCCCAAATCAACCTCTTTTGCACCCACCAGATACAGGACACCAGGGAACAGAGCACGACAATTTAGGAGAGGGAGCAACAACTGGTTTGAGCAATTTCCTGTGCCACTTTGCTTTCCATAGCCAAAAAGTGTAGCTCAGTCCCAGGCAAGTTGCTTGTTTCAGGGCTTCTGGTCAATGCAGCAGGGGGCAGGGATGTCCACTGAGTTCTCCCTCTCCCTTTACTGAATACATAGACATTCTGAGCCAAGAAAGCCCACAGTTTTGGCACTATTATTTATTCCAATTATGTGCATGCATTTACTCTACTGGAAAAGTATTGGAATGGGGAAAAAAGAAGCAAGCAAGCAAGCAATAAAGGCAGACGTGAGTTCTTTCATTTGCTACAAAGGTTCCAAAATCCAACTGTGGAACCTCTTCCATGCTTCATTTAATCCTGAAATAAGAGCAAAATTCTTGCCTCTATAGACAAAACACAGTACTCAGTTACCTAGTATTCTTCTGAGGGGTCAACATGACTTGTCCGTCCCCAGTGATATCTATTATACAGTGTTCAGAAAGAATCCCCAATCCACAGAGCTGTATGTCTTGGGAATTATCAGATCCAATGAGTGTGTGTTCCTGCAAAAGATTCAAGATCAGGTCCATTGAAATCCAACAGAAATTCATATTACTTACCACGTATGAAACTGATCATTCTCACTTTATCTAGTCCAGCTTTCTCAAAGTGCTCCAGCAAACTGTAATCTGTAAAATGATGGCTGGTTTCCCATCACAATAAAGCAAAACTAAACAGATTGTGGCATGACTTAGCATCAAGTGTGCACTCGGTCATTACCTTCCCTTACACTTACTATATAAAACCACAACAGGGAAAAGAATGAACTGTGAGGAGGAAGTAGAGGGAAAGAGCAGCTTCCAGCCCTCAGAGTTACAGATATTATCTGACTAGTTGAAATGGAAATAATTCAGGATTGCACTTTGTTTGCATTTACTATAATGCAGTATGTCCACTTCTGTATCTTTTCTTTAACAACAGCAAAAGAAAGGAAAAGTATGATGGCAGGAATTAAATGGGGGAAACAATGAAAGGATAAGAGAAAAAGAGAGAGAAATCAAATTTCTTATTGAATTAACTTTGCTTTCTTCTCCCCTGTACTATTTTTAATTCGAGCACAGTTCTGATGAAGAATAATGTACCCAGCTAGTCAATCATCTGAGAAGATGCTGACTGTACTGTAATGGAAATTATACTGTCCTTGACATTAAGTCTACTAATGTCACTCATCTTCACCTGTCTTCCTAGCACAGTAGCCTACATGCAACCTGCTGAATTTCGAAAGGAAAAAGAAGCATCCTTCATTTGCTTCTTAAAATTCTGTAATCCTTTTTTTCAATTCCTAAAGCAGCCTTGCATTAAAACAAATAAAAAAATCATAGTTAAAAACTCAATTTCATTTATTAACATTCATCATAAATCCTCAGAATAAGAAAGCCATAGTCAAATAAGGCTGGAAACCTGGATAACTAGAATCGCTAAACTACAGTTTACAGCAGAGGTTCCCAATGTTAGCAACTTTAGAACCTGTAGACTTCAATTCCCAGAATTCCCCAGCCAATCATGATGGCTGGGTAATTCTGGGAGTTGCAAGTCCATAAGTCTTAAAGTTGCCATGGTTAGACTCTCCTGGTTTACAGCATCCCTTACCTCTGGGCTTGATCAACAACCACCTTTCTATTTCTGAATTAGAGCATCTGTCTGAAGGTGAATTAATTGGAAATGCTTTCTTCAGACCAGAACGTGCTGCTTGGTTGCCTGAATGCTTAGAGCCAAAATATCAAGTGGATCTTGTTTTATTTTGAGGCATCATTCTGAGTAATCAAAGCATCCTTTTTTGATGCTACCTGCCTTGTTTCTGAATGCAGGGAACAAAACAATGGCCCCACTGAAGACCATAATAGAAAGACAGGAATTGTAAGAAGGGAAATCAGAATGGAGGCAGGGAACCTGAGGCCCTCCAGATGCAGCCTCTCTGTTATACGTTGAATAACAATGCTTGCTGGAGCTGTTTGGAACTTTTTATGGATTTGGGCTTCATTGTCACTTTTATTTCTTTGTAGTTTGGCACTTGGAACAGATTCCTCCCACAGACAATCTGGCATGTGGATCATTATGAACTTGAACTACATATCTGAATTGAAAGAAGGAGGGAAAGTGCATACTATTTGAGGATGAGCCTATCAGAGGCTATGAACCACGATAACCACGCTAAAAGGCAAAAGGAATGGGTGCCGTGAAACTATTCACTTAAATGTCTCTCTGGAAATGTAAGAACTAAAAGTTCGATTAAAAGATATATTTCCTATAAACTAAGAAGATACTGAGTTCTATGCTGAATTAAATAATGCACAGAACTATTTCTCTAAATCCATTTAAACAAGTCTTATTCGGACAGTAAGGTATCAACTATTTTTTTTCCCCAAAAAAGAGGCAAAGGTTGAACAAAATGCAAATTGTAGCAGATAAAATGTAATGGTATGTGAAAATGACCTTGAGGGAGGAGGTGAAAAGATATTGCAGTTGCTTAAAGGTCACAGAAAGAAATGTAGAAAGGGCCCACCCTAACTGATCAAGCTATAAAAAGAGATAGTGGATTGTTTGTACTTTCAGACTTGTGAAATTGTGTTAATATATCCTTATAATATAGTAGAATTAGCTGTTGGAGAAAGAGACTTAGGAAGTCTCTAATTGATCATGGTTGTAAAGAGAGACTGTGGGAAATCTGTGCTTTCAGACTTCCAAAATTATGTTCATGTAGACTACAATAAAGGAGAATTAGCTCAGCAAGTCATGTTTTCTGTCTGCTTTATCCAGGAGAGCTGACACCAGGAGAGCCTTCATATTGTAGTGCACCTGGGGGTAATATCCTATTATAAATATGATCAGCACTATTAATTCTAGCATATCTTAATAAAGAAGTCACCATTTTAGATTCCTAAAGAAGGAGTCTAAACCTACTACAAAAGGAGTTGAAACGATTGTGTTAATTTCCTCCCTCTTCTTTCCTTCTCTTTCTGAATTCTAAGATACCATTATTAGGGTGCTAAGATGAAATCTTAACGTTTTGCAAATAGACAAGGTCACCTCCTGCATGTATTTTGTTGCCAAGACATTCTTTGAAGGCCTTCATGCTGAGTAGCAAAGAAACAGATATGGCATCAGGAACTAGTTGGGAGGGGGAGAATGCCAGCTGACAAAGCTAGACACCTACACTGTCTTGAAATTCTCTGAAGCTATTCAAAGTCAGCTCTTTTGTTGCTTCAAGGGAACAGTGATGACTAAAGATTTCCCCAACCCCCATCCTTACATTCTTCAGGGTGCTAGCCCACTATAAATAGGATTACTGGTTCTCCTTAAAGAGGCAGCATTTGAAATAATGTCACAGGTCTGAATAAGTTTATAAGCAGCTTTGACATATCTAAACAATATTATAAGAAAAAGAGCTATTCATTGCATAACTCCCAGAAAGGTCTGCAATAAATATACTGTATTATTGGCTTGCTTTAAATGGCAGCCTATCCGTTCAGGAATTGGCTTCATGAAGTTGCATTCCCTGCCTGATGCTTCTGCTTTTGCATTATGACTTGGCATTATATATGCACTAATGCAAGCCATGATTCTGCAAATTTAGTTCCCTCTTAATCATGGCTTGCAATTAGCTAAAAAGCTAGAACTGGGAAATCTGTTTCAATTCCATAGTAGCCAAGATAGGACTTTTCCAACCAGGGAAGCAATAATGATGACTTATTGTTCAAAGCTGCTGAGAAATATTGTATTGTATTGTATAGTATAGCGCTAAGTATTGAAGTATATATTTTCTTCAAGGAGACTATATTCACAGGATGATGGCATTGAAAATATATTTATAGGGGAATCTGATTTGCAACAGCACATATCAAATCATGATTGATACAAATCTTCTGTTTTTCATAACATAAAAAAGAATGATCTATATCCTAGTGTCTGTTGAAAACAGTACACAATTAACAATAAAATCTTGGGTTTGAGAACACTGACACTGAATGAATAGCTTTGTATCCTGAAGAGCCCAGCCTGACAGAAATGAAATGTCACAAAATCTGCTTTTGCCCAACCAATATGTCTTGATCCATTAAAAAAAAAAAAATCAAATCCAGAGTGGATTTTGAAATATTTTCTATGTGACTCTTTTCAAAAGACAATGGATCTTAGGAGAAGAATTCAGGAACGAGATCTGTAGGAGCGTCTTGCATTTAAGCAATTTAAAAGCAACCTCGTACATCTTTTTAGTATCTCACCTTTAAATAGTAGACCAAAAGTTCATTGAGTGCAGGGTCAGCATTCAAATTCACCAGAAAGCACTTGTTATCACCAACTTTGATCCCAGATGATTGAAGAGAGATGCCAAGGCTTTCAAGTTGTTTCTGCCTTTCCTATTTGAGAGGAACACAACTACCATTAGAGAAACCAACTAGAACCATATATTCTCCCACAATGTGTGGTTATTCTTCTCCCTGGACATAACAAAGAAAGAAAACAAAAGGAGAGCCTTTTGTTAGTCAATGATTGGCTACTGTAGCCCTATCCATCTCTTTGAGCTGCTGCAACCATAGCTGCACTCCTAATCTCCAAATCCTAATCTCCTAATCTCCATTTTGAATGAACAACCTCCAACCCTCAGCCCATGTTTGGCCCCAACCACTTTTCACAGCACCAGAATCCCATTACACTACCAAACCATTGAAAAAAGAAAAGAATGAATACCAACATTTAGACTCAACTCTTCAAATAATTAAGACATCTACCATGTAAAAAAGAAATGATCCTGAAATCACTGACCTGTTCAATTCAATGACATGATAATGTTATTGTCTTGCAGGTACAGTCTTTGGCTGTACTCATATAGCCCCCCCTTCCCCCGTGAGTGGGTGGGGGAGTATTGCTGATATGATTTGGAATTTAGCCATATGAAACACCACTTCCCAGGAAAATCTGGGACAAAAGTAGCCACTGTCAAAAAAAAGGAAATATGTATGCAATGCAGGGAAGAGGAGAAGAAAAGAGGTTTAAGCTTCTTATTAAATTTAGTTTCAAGGGTCATTAATTGAGAAACCAGGGCTTTGGGTGTATAAGTTAAAAAGGTATGCATGAAGATTAAGCTTCAAAGTATTTGTTCTCATCCAGTTTATTCCACCATGAAACCTTATTTAGAAAAATAATTCACAGCAGGGATCACTGGTGGTAATAGGGTGTGGCTTTACATATACATAAAGTCAAGAGTTTTGTAGAATTGTGGTGCAACAGACAAATGTTAAATGGCCCAATTTTCAGGCGAGTGCTCAATTTCACCAGTGTTTGTGGCTTTCTCAACAAATCTGTACAAGGTTTTAAGTGGGAACACCAACATTTCCTAAGATCTTATGAAGTATTTTTCATTCCTTTGGTCCCTTAACTTTTTTAGATTTGATTTTTGGACCTCCATGGAGGCCCTGTAAGGGAGTACTTAAAGCAGGGCTAGCAATGGCACCCTTAAATGCTTGTTTCACACCTGCCCCAGAACCATTTCCACAGGATCAGTAAAATAAAATTAGCTTAAAGCACAACCTCTTTCCCTCCCACCCCAGGTCATCACAGCACCTACTACGTCCCTCAACCTTCACAAAAATAAGTGCTCACCTTTCCTTTAAACTATCAGTAAATCCATCACTGCTTTTGAAAGTTTTATGACAAGAACAAACTTTCCTGAGGGTACAAATTAAAAGATGGAGGAAGGAGACCATCAAGCAAGGAATAACATTAAAGGAAGATATGGCTGAAGGATCTGACCTCCCTTATGCTGCTTTTAGGACCCTGAATAGGTTGAGGGTTGGAGCGCCTAAGTGTAAAACCAGTATATGTTCCAATGGAGGCTCTTAGCCAAAGCAACATGCCGTGTGAATGTAGAGGAGACACAGAACCCAGCCCATCTGCAATCTACAACCAGAAATATGTACCAACAATGATTTATTTTTGGCCAACAACAAAGCCATTAAGGTGGCTTCATTTTGGCAGTCCAAAGTTTGATCTAGACACAGAAGATCACTGCTTTTGCGACAATAATCTCTCTTTGAATTGTCCATCCTAGAAATTAAGAAATAACTCCTTCATAGGATCATAAATTATCCATAGGTATCATGAGTTTTCATGGTATTTCACCATTGTTTAAATGGTGACAGTAATCATCATTATGTGCCAGCAAAACTCAATACAAAAATGCAGACCTGTGCAATTTCCTCTGTCTTCCTGAGCTTCTCTTCCCAGGTTACTGTCATCTCCTGGATCAGTTTTTCAGACTCTTCCAAACGATCTTTTAATTCTGGAGATTTCATAGCCTAAAAGATTAAAAGGGGGGGGGGAGTGGAGGTGTGAAAGAAAAAAGCAAATTATGGAATTCTCCTTACAAGGGCCATCAAATTAAGGTTTCATGCATTCTTCATGATCTTATCATAGTGATCTATGTGACTGAAAAGTAGCCACCATGAATAATACATGCAGGAAACCTCTGTTCTTATTGAGTGTAATACTGGGAGAAGATACCTGCATACGGGCGGAAAAAGTCTGACCTTCCAACTCAGCATTTTACTACAATGCTGATAAGAGGAAATCCTAGTGTAACAATTGTGTATTATTAAATTTATTACGGTTACTGACCAGTATTTTGTATAATTATTATAAGAGATTACGTGGCTTAAATTAAAAGCATAGATATTTTCTAAAACCAATTAAAGTAAATGAAATATTTCAATTATAATGCTATAAATGCAGGTTATAAAATACTAAGGATTCTAAGTATTAAAACTAATTAATGGAATTATAAAACTGTTTTGTGAATGAAAAAAACTAAAATGCTTACTTTACACTAAATATTAAACAGCTAAAAAGATAAGTATCAGGCCTGTAGGTATGTGCATGTAGATGCACATGTATGTGCATATATATAAATCCTGCATGTATAAGCAAGCATGTATATGCAAGTATACATGTATATAAATGTTGTTAGGATTGGTGATGGGTCAAATATAACAGAAAACTAAGAAGCATAAAACATAAAAAAGGGAAAAAGTATATTAACAGAATCCGAAAAGTTAAAGGAATAATTTCCCCGTGTAAAGTGATGGCAGCTGAAATAAATTTTGCAATGTTAGACATGTTAGGGTTCCAGTTCAATTGTAAAAAGCAAATAAAGATGTCCTCAGGACTAATGAAACAGAATTATAAAGATAGAGTAGAAGTTACTACAGAAACGACATCTAAGAAGTATGTGGGTTAGAATTTCAGGTTCCTCCAAATTTTGGGGGAAGATCTGATTTGTAAAATGGGCATTATAATACCTGCAGAGGGCTCCAAAACTGCAGAGGGCAATACATTAAAGCGGGCTAAGGAAAAAAAAACTCTTGCCATGCTTTGGGCAAGAAAGATTGAATAAATAATTCACTGGCAGGAAAGCTCTCTGATTTAGATGTTACCAAATTTGCCTTGCTCTACAATACAAGGAGAGATTTATCAAGCACCCCCTGCCAGACTGCAACTCCATTTCTTCGTAATGCCATGGTCAGAAGGGCTATATATGAGAAGTCACATTGGTGTAAATCAGTGTTTCTCAACCTCTGCCACTTTAAGAAGCGTGGACTTCAACTCCCAGAATTCCCCACCCAGCAGTGCTGGCTAGGGAATTCTGGGAGTTGAAGTTCAAACATTTTAAAACGAATGAGATTGAGAAACAGTAAATCATCCTAAATTCTTGTTTTCCACAAAGATGAAAATTTATCGAGAAGGATTCTGGCAGCCAGGGAGTTACTAGAAAAGTGAAGTTTGAGTCAAAAATAAACCCAGTATACACAGCTATAAACCTGTTTATTGTCACAAGGTTAGCAGAGTCCAAAACTCAAGTTTTAGATTACTATTTCTATTGCAGTATATGTGAAACCACACTGCACCTAACTCTTTTCTCTTGACCTACCACAGTTCTGCAGAGTTTGGGCATAACTTATTCCTCTGCCGTCAGGAATTCTTGCTTCCTTCTGCATCTAATCCATGAGAAGAAATTCTAGCTTCATCCTGCTTCCCAGTTCCTTCATCTCACAGAAGTGTTGTTCTCTCTATCTGATTGCATGTGTTTGGTTGCTTTTTAGGAATTAGTGAATGGAAACTGGCATGATGGAAGCAAGTGCTATCTTCTCCAACCTAACAAAGTTTAGATACAGTATGTTGAGTTCCTAAGTTATATTCAGGTTGATTAGTGATTCTGGGAATCCAGCTTCTGCAAAGCCATCTGCAATGAGGTTAAAACAGGTCCCCTTGAATCCCTTCCTCTTTGTTGTGCTGGGCACAATCAAAACTGCAGTTCTTTTTGGCAATCTTCTGAGAATTTGCCCTGGAATATTTCAGGAATCTTCAAGTTCCTCTCAGGCTAACAATCCTTCACTTGTGTAACACTGTCTCTCACGTTTGTTTCTTACTAAGCCATACACCTTCAATAGCCAACCATCTAGATCCATCTTAGAGTGCCAGCCTTCTTCCATCAGAGTTCTCTTTTCCAGAGATCTGTTTTTCAGTGCTCACCATCTTTTACCAATGGAGCAACCCATATTTTCTTTTGCCTCTAAGAAAATCTCCCTATAGAAGACGAAGCTAACTCTGCTTTCAGCTTCCACTTCTTAGCTCCTTAGAATAAAATGCCTTGGCTGTCTTCGTGATGGATTCAGAGGTGTAGCTGTCAGAGACTCACACAAAAATAAACAACCTGAGCCTGCTTCATAATGCCAGGCATTTGTTTCTGGGAAGTCTATCTGCAAAGTTTATATGCTTCAATATGGGTATGCTTCTGAATTTTGGAGATGCTATTTAATATTTGCGGAATGTATGACCTATCTGTGCCAATAGATCTGCTTCCAGAAAAGCTGGAGGGAAGAAGGAAAAAAATCTCTTGCACACAGATTCAGAATTGGATGCTTACTGAACCTTGATCTATGTGATGCGAGAAGTGAGGTTCTGTCATTCTATTGGTGAATAGGCATAGCATGATAGTGGCTAGAGAGAAGTTCCATGAAGATGGGCTCCAGCATGAGCCTGAAAGCTTAGAAGATAAAACCTCTGGTCCCAGTGACCAACCCAGATTGGATCCTGCAACATTATCCTGGGACATATATATTCGCCTTCATTCATGATCAGAGGAGTATTTGAGAGATCAACCTATAACCTTGTCCCAGCAGCAAGCACACTATTGTGTTGTGGTCCGCCAGCAGCCTGCAGAGCTGGCAGCGGAGTCAGACAGTGAGGAGGCTGGGAAGGAACATGGGCCAGTCCTGGAGTCTGGGGAAGGCTCGGACAAGGGCTCTGCGTCGGAGGCAGAGATGGGGCCAGGGCCATCTGGGAGTTATGTGCGGTCTCTGGAGCCTCCAGAGTCGGACATCAGAGAGGCAGAGGAACAGGAGGGGCCTGTTCCTAGTGTGCAAAGCTACCAGAAGGCAAGAACTAAAGGGACTCGGGAGTAAGGCCTAGAGATGATTGTCCCTCCCATAAGGCTTAAAAGAGGAGCAAAGGCACGTGGGCCCTTTGCAGGAAAGTAACATTGTTAATTCTGTTCCCAGTCGGCATCTCTGTTTGATTCTGGACTCCGTGTGGCTTTGCCAAGTAGGTCTTTGGTAGCGTGTCAAGGGAGATAAAGGTTGGTGATTATCCCAAAGGACTTCTCCTGAAGGACTTTTTGCAACTAATTGGAACTCAGTTGCGAATGAACGTAATTCACAGCTGTTGCAATAAAAGAGGTTTTTGGGACTACTCATGTGTTTTAATGACTCAGTAAGCCTAGGTCACAACATATTGGGCCTTCTCTTTGCAATTTGCAAAATCTAAAAAACTAGCAAACATATTCAGTACACAGGAAACCTCATTATTCAAAGTCAGGTTATATTATTTGGAAATTGTGTTAGAATGTGCTTTAAGGTTGGAGGAGAAGGACATCATCTACTGACTGATTAAATGAATTACTCCTTCTATTGCCCTTGGTGCAAGAAGACTTACCTCTGCTTTGGTAAGCTGTTCCCTGAGTTTTTCTACTTCCTCCCTCAGTTCTCGGATGATTCGGGCATTGGGATCTTCATTGACCACGGCATGGTTCACAATGTTCTTGGCTCGGTCTGCATACCTCAAGGTAGAAAGTATCTCATCGTAATTATCTGCTGCTGGACTGATGGTAGCAACCATTGCAGTCTTACTGTTGCCACCAAGGCTGTCCTGGGAATGTGAAATCAGAGAATAAGAATTTGAGGAGTTTTGATTGCTTGATTTTAAGAATTTATAAGGCCACCCAACTCCAAGATTAACAAGGAGTTAATCTTATCCATGAAAAGGGACCGATTATACTTTGAGCAAAGCAGATGCCATACCACCTACCTCTAATCCCTCTGACAAGAAAATATCTACTGACAATATTTCTGGGAGATGGAAGGTACTATAACCCATACAAAATGCAGACAATAAGTGATATGAGCCATGGTGGTGCAGTGGTTAGAGTGCAGTAGTGCAGGCTATTTCTGCTGACTGCCGGCTGCCTGCAAATTTGGCAGTTCAAATCTCACCAGGCTCAAGATTGACTCAGCCTTCCACCCTTCTGAGGTCGGTAAAAGGAGGACTCAAATTGTTGGGGGCAATATGCTGATTCTGTAAACCGCTTCTAGAGGGCTGTAAAGCACTGCGAAGCAATATATAAGTCTAAGTGCTATTGCTATATGTATATACTTTATGTTGGCCTCACACAACCAGGCACCCTGCACAACCTGCCTCTGTTGGATTACATTCCCATTAAGACCCCATTAGCATTCCTAGTGGTTAGGGAAGATGGGAAATACCATCTCAGACATCTAGAAGTCATTAGGTTGATTTAAGTTGCCTACAAAATGTAGGTGTGCACAGCTCCTGGGCATCATTCATAAATCTTTTTGAGACATTCCTAATTATTGTGGTGAATTTAAGTTTTCATAATTACCCTAGTTAAAGTTCAGTATAATTTCTTGCACATTTGCTTTAGATGTGGGAAACTAAACTTTAAATTTGTGCTAAGTAACCATTGCCTTTCTCTGCCTGAGGATGGAGATAAATGAAGTTTATTATAATGCATAACTTTCTAAACGAAGACAAAAGGCTAGACAACAATAGCAATACCACTTAGTCTTAAATACAGCTTCACAGAGCTTTCCAGCCCGCTCTAAGCAGTGTCAGAATATTGCCCCCCACAAACTGGACCTCATTTTACCAACCTCAGAAGGATGGAGAGCTGAATCAACTTTGAGCCAGTGAGACTTGAACTGCTGAACTTCTGGCAGCTGGCAGTCAGCAGAAATAGCCTGCAGTACTGCATTTTAACCACTGCACCACTGCAGCTCTAGATACTGATCAAAACACAATCTGAGTAGCAATAATACCGTGTTTCCCGAAAATAAGACCCTGTCTTATATTTTTTTGAACCCTGAAATAAGAGCTTGGCCTTATTGCCATGCACTCAAAAGCCCGATTGTGCTTATTACCAGGGGATGTCTTATTTTGGGGGAAACAGGGTATATAGCATACTCCAAATGTATAAAGCCCTTCAAGGGCATTGTCTAAACCAACCAAATACATGAAGGACATTTTAGTTTTCATCATCAGATTATGGGGAAAGGGAAGGACTAAGGCAGAGAAAGCAGTGATTGGGCCAAGCAACAATAAAATTCTCTTTGCTATACCAGCTGTGCTACAAGAAATAATACACTAGGTGCAAAAGAGAACTATTTCTCTTAAGTAAATGGCATTGACAGCTGCTGCTAAACAAATAAAAAAGGACAAACAACCTTCACACATCTCTAAATGAGTAACAAATGCTTTGACCATGAGTGCTTAAAATGGCCTGGACCCAGAATGTATAAAGACAGCCCTTAAAAGCCTGCTATCCTCCAGATGCATTGGAATTATTGCTCTTTGAATTCTGAGCTAGAATCAGTCATCCATATTTCTACTTCTCCTTTGGTTAAAGTTAGTCTGAGCAAAATGGTGCTGCTGTGGTTTGAAGCAATTCCTCAGCATAAAAAAAGGTACCTTTTACGGTACCTTCCTTGATGTTATAAATAAAAAAGGCTGAGATGGGTCACTGATTAAAAGCCATGCTTGTTATTACTTTTTAGTATTTAATATTTAGTATTTAATGTTCAATGTTAATTAAGGTTAAAGTATAGAAATTATACTTTAATTTTTATTATACTTTATATTATTTATTATAATATAATATTATATTATATATCATATATATCATACCATATTATATTATATATATTATATATATTATATATATTATATTATATAATTTATTATATTATATTTATTATACTTTTAATATTTTAATTATATTTAAAATATAATTATACTTTGCCATGTAACAGGGTGAGCTCCGGTTATTTATCCCAGCTTCTGCCAACCTAGCAGTTCAAAAGTACGTAAAAAATGCAAGTAGAAAAATAGGGACCACCTTTGGTGGGAAGGTAACAGTGGTCCGTGAGCCTTTGGCATTTAGTCATGCCGGCCACATGACCAGAGAGCGCTGGCTCTTCGGCTTTGAAATGGAGATGAGCACCACCCCTTAGAGTCGGGAACAACTAGCACATATGTGCAAGAGGAACCTTTACCTTTACCTTTATAGAAATTATATATTAAAGGGTAGTAGGGTATTCAAGCATTTTACCCATCATCCTTATGTGGGAATAAAATGCCTTCATACTTTTTCTATGGCTGAGCTTGTGATAATAGAGACTTCTCCATAATAAGGCTTAGCCGATGATTACTTTTATTGTGGACAGAAGCTTCCTTGAAGATATGTTGTGGGCACAAATTCTAAATGAAAATTCAAAGAAAGAACGAAGGAAGGAGCTATAGAATCTGGGGAGAAATGTAACATCTAGGCTCCACTACCAAAAGTTGCATCCAATGTCTCTTTTAAAATCAACAAATTAAGACTTTTAAAGCAGATAGAGAAGTGAATAACTATACAAGTTGATTAATTCAAAACAGCCATGCACTGGCATAAAAATCCTGGCAGAAAGCAAAAGAAATTATAACTCACCCCCCCCCCCTTTCTTGCTCTATAATTGCTAGAAATAACTCATCATATTTGCTTAGATTTCAAATGTTATGCCAGACGCTGCCAGTTTTGAGCCCAGATTGGGTTCTTTCGCTGTTCCATCACAGTGCTTTTTTAGCCAAGCCCAGGAACTCCATATTCCCAGCCTTCTATTCAGCATAGGCACAACAGTTGCTGAAACCTCCAGGCACTTGGGCACAGAATTCAATGCTCCTTTTCTCTGACACCATAGCACCCTTGATAACAACTTGGAAAGTTGTGACTCCGAACAGAGAAAAGCAAAAAAGGGCAATGCAATTTAACCATCCCTGTTTCTCACTTCAACATCGCTCTCTTTACAGAAGCTGCTTTTTTTATTACAAGGGAAAAGATATTGAGTGCCTGTATCCCCCTTCCCCCACCAGAGAAAAGCTTACGGAACATGATTTTTACCTGTAAAAAAAAATTAGAAGGGAAAGAACATAGACTGACGCAACAGGAACCACCTCAAGCTAGAAAATACTACTATAATGTAAGCATTTACTGTCTGCCTCTCAAGGCCATCAAGAGACTGGTTAAGGATTTATTAACTTGGAAAGGTGGTGTCAAACTTCAGTCATTTGGGGAAGTTCAAGGAAGCAAGAACTGCAGACCTACGCTGTTTTAGTGCTAGTCTGAGGGAATTGCAGAATTCTGGAAGTAAAGAGAATCTTCTGGGCCAGTGATGGGGAATCTTTTCGGCAACAAGTGCCGAAAAGGTTGTGTGGAAATGTTACGCGTGTGCGCTTGTTGGGGTGATGCTCTGGAAAAACCGAACTTCCGGGTTCTAGCGCACATGCGCACCCAACATCAGCTGGCCGGTGCACATGCACAGGCCAGTTTTTGGCACTGCCATGCGCAGGAAGGGATTGCACTCTGGAAAAGCCAAGCTTCTGGGTTCTAGCACTCGTGCACCCAACAATCAGCTGGCCAGCGCACATGTGCAGGCTGGTTTTCGGCACTGCCGCATGAGTGAATGGATTGCACTTCAGAAAAGCTGAACTTCCGGATTCTGGTGCATGTGCACCAGACAATCAGCTGGCTGGCACACAGCGTTTTTTGCCGCACGTGTGAAGGACAGCTGATTGTCGCACACACATGTGCGCCAGAAACCCAGAAGACAAACAGGCAAGGCCGCGCATGCCAGGCGACATGGCTTCGCGTGCCACTTTGGGCATGCGTGCCATAGGTTCGCCATCACGGCTGTAGGCCCTGCTTATAATGAGTTCATGTTAGTGGAGAGGAATGATGTTCTTCACAAGTTTCTTGCCTCTTAGACTGAGACCTTTGTACGGTAAGTGGTCAATGGGTTTGCCTTCTGTCTCTTGACTGCTGATTATCTACTGTCCTTTCCATTCATTTCATCAGTCCTTCGGGAGAAGGGCGGTATAGAAATAAAATTATTATTATTATTATTATTATTATTTCTCAGCCTTCCTAAAATCTCACAGGCCAGAAGAAAAAAAGCCTAGTTTAAATTCTAGTGCACAAACTGACATAAAGGGTCTGACTTCATTGGACTGTGGTGGATCAACCAGCTGTTGTGTTTAAAGGTTCATTCTTCTTTCCAATAAAACTTCTAATATAACTGACTTGTTTCTGCAAGTCTCTTGCCAAAACTTTTAGGATCAATTATCCACAATAAAAGGAATAAGCAGTCGGAAAATACATTGGAGGCTAGCAGTGAAGGCCCTGGAAAAGCTATTCAGATGCTGTCATGTATTAGGACTTGCAAAGATCAGAACAGCGCACCCTGTGACATTCTATGGAAGGGAAAGCTGGATTCTTAAAAGGCAAGATGAGCCGAGGTAGCGCAGTGGTTAGAGTGCAGTACTGCAGTTACTTCAGCTGACTGCTAGTTCAGCAGATCAGCGGATCAAATCTCACCAGCTCAAGGTTGACTCAGCCTTCCATCCTTCCGAGGTGGGTAAAATGAGGACCCAGATTGTTGGGGGCAATATGCTATTTAGTATACTGTCTTTGGTGTAAGCCGCCAAGAGTCCTCGGAGAGTGGGCGGCATAGAAATATGACTAATAAAAAAAAATAAAAATAAAGATAGGAAAAGTATTGAAGCTTTTGAACTCTGGTGTTGGAGAATACTCATGGACA